TGCTCACACTGTACACACATACACTCCCACTGTACCCAAACACACACACACACACACACACACACACACTACTCAAATACACACACACTCCCACTGTATTCAAACATAGACATAGACATATATATTGCATCCAAACATATATGCTAACACTGTACCTAAACACACACAGAGAAATACATAAACACACATAGATAACAGTTCACGTATAAACACACTTATGACATATCTACTCCCTCATATGCCCCCACATAAACTGAGCACTATGAATCAGGTGATCCCTTTCAACCCACGAATGGTATGGCCCATTCAGAACCCAGGAAAATAATTCACATTAGCCCAACCACTCTCAGCCCTAAAGGCCACCTGCCCTTCAACTGAACAGACTTGAACTTCCTACAAGCAAGTCCTCCCTTTGGCCTCAGGAACACATTCAGTCAAGACAAGAATTGAGGCCCAGAATCAGAACAATCAACACTGTCCTCTCTGGTTGATCTGTGCTGACCTAGGGCACTGTCATGCCTCAAACACAATGTTCCTAAGGCCTCCAGAACCTATAACTTCTTCCCCACTACTCTGTTGGGCTGTCCGGGACGCCTGGCTCCTACTTCCTGTCTTGTATTGCGCTTCTGATATAAACAGTAGCACAGGTTCATGCTAGTCAAGAAGTTATCCAAAATAGGTCCTTATGCAGAGTGTCCCCCCCACAAAGAGGCAGCCAGCAATGTCATGACCACAGGCTTTATATCCACTAGCTTGGGTTTGAATGTAGGATTTGTCTCTCACTAACCCTTTGTCATTGAACAAACTATGTACACTCCCAATGGCCTATTTTTCTTATCTGTAACTTGGGATAACAGTGGTCACTTCTTGAGCTGAAGCTGCCCCTCCGTCCTCTCAGTGCTGAGATGCTCAATGCACTAAGTTGCTTTGTTTCCAGTCCCTCACATTTAGTATAATTTTTAGCACTTAGTACATGAATAGGCTGCGGTGAAGTTATAAACTGAACAAACATTTCAGAAATCAATTTGCCTATAACGTTTTGAGTAACTGAATTTGCCATCATACTGAAGGGTGGTCTGTCTTGTCTCTATGGTGCCTCTCTTCAAGGCACTTACCTGCCAAGCACTGCACCAGTGGGGAGTCAAGGTCAGGGACTCTGGACCTGACTATGGCAGGAGCATCTGTGTTGAAGAGCACCTTCGCTTCTGGAAGCTTCTCAAATTTCCGCATCACTGGAAATAAAGCACACCTATGAGATCTGACCCTTAGGGTGTTGAGGACATTTGCACTTGTGTATGAGGTCGAGCCAGAAAGTCCTGTTAAAGTCAAGAAGTCACACCTGCCATCCTGACCTTGACCACAGAGCAACTCTGTGAAGGGAGTTCTAGCCTGCTACCTCACAGCTACTGCTCAGAGCTAGAACTCACCACTTCTCCTCTTTTCTGCCTCTTTGTCAGGAAGTACAGGAAAGATTTAATATCATGTTGGACCTTTCAACTCATTTCTTCTCATCGTCACTATATTTTTTCTCTGAACTTATATTTCCCTGTCTGAGTAATAATTATATTGCACAAGATTGTATTGAAACCATCCTTCCTACAATCTGAATTCTTTCTGAAGTGAGATAAGCTCTTTTTACGAAGACAAATCAGACATGTGCATATTGACTCCTGCAAATTTGGAGATGGATGACGTGACTCCAGTGTTTTCAGATGGCATTTGCTGAGGTGATAGGGTGGCATCTGTCTCTCTAGCTGCTGTCAAAACACTTGAGGTCCATTTGGTGGGAGTCACAGAGCCACCCATTCACAGAACTACACAAGCGAGGAGGAAGAAGGATGAATTTCCACAGCTTTGTGACTTGGGACACATTCCTTACAAACCACAAACACATGAGGGTAACTCTCAAGGCAGTAGACCCGTGTTCTAAGCTACAAACGTCAAGTGTGTCAAGATTGTAGGCCTTGACCAAAAGCCAAGATTTACTGACAATTCCCTGATCATATGCATGTTGGTCCTTTTCAGACAGCATTACAAACATGGACATAGGTATGCATTATCACATACATCCATTACATTATAAACGAGTCCTATGTCTACATTGATTTTCACAGGTCAATGCATTCATAAGTTTAATGAGGAAGCTGAGAAATGTGGGTAGACGATACATCATGCCGTCTTTTCTAAACCTTCATAATCAAAACATAGACATCCCAAAGAATCAATATAGAAACAATATGCTTTAAGCCTTCTAATACCTTGATGCAGAAAAGTAATCCCTGAAACTGTTTGGGGGACAAATGGGACCAATAGAAAGAGGGAGGGGTGAGAAAGGGGGGGCAGTGGGTATTTACTTATGCAATATATGTGCTTTATATGAAAACATAAAAGTAAAAGTGAAAAACAAGTATTTTCAGCCTGCGACGTGGCCCTTCCACACTTGTCACGGAAGCCCCAGGATCACGAGCTCAGCCCACACTCAGCCTTACCCTTCCCAACCCTTCCTCCTGTCTTAGCTTTACATTCCTTCTTATTTTGTTCACAGTCTGTAAGTGCCAGTCTAGTAAATGCCACAGGAGACTCTTCCCAATGTCCTTAAGTACAACTTGACTGGGACCACATGTTCCAACGCTCCAGACTAACCAAAAATCAACGGGTCTTTCAGTTTCTAACAAAAGTCTGCTGGAAATTCAGTCAACTTAGCGTTCTGCTTAGAGAATGTACAAGGAGGGTCCTTGATGGTGGAGCACTCCATGCTGCCAAGTCTATGAAGAAGAGCAATGCCAGCAGAGCAGAGACAAGCCATGAGCCAAAGGGGCCAGTGGATTCCGTGAAGTTAGTTCACAGATTTACATGTTCTGTCAATAGGCTTTCCACATGATAAGGCTGGCTATACAAATGTTGGTGAGGAAGCCTAGAGGTTAATGTTAAAGCAGCATATGTCTAACCATGGGTCCTGCATGGTAAATTCATTGCATATATGTGCATGTTTCGTCCACGGCAAGGGGAATGCTCTGATCATACTTGAATCCTTGCAAGCTGGCATAGTGACAAGGATACAAGTTCCATGTTTAGTGAGTGGATGATCCCATGGATGGATGGATGGATGGATGGATGGATGGATGGACACATGGATAAGTGAATGACTAGCAATGTAACTACAGTCCTGAGGAACCAGGGGGCCTTGTTATGAAGGTGTAATTCCAACAGCAGGTAGAAATATCTGTATATTTAGATACAGCGCATGATAAATTAGCATGGGTCAACAAGAACAGAATTAGGAACCTGGATCTAAAGTTAAGATAAACTTGACCTATCTCCCCAAGGTCACATGAGTTCTGTCAGTAAACAAAGGCAATGTGGGAGCGCATTGAGTGAGGCTTCATAGAGAAACTCCAGGGAGCCCCAGGATTCTGCAGCTGGAGGGATTGAAGACACAGTGGATGTAGGCCATGAGATGAAGCCTGCTATGCTAGCTCTGGCATCACTATTCCCCACCAGCTCTGTGACCTCAGACACACTTCAGCCTCTGAGGGCCCAGTTTCCTGGTAATGAGAATTGAATGAAATGGCACAGAAGAATCAGCCTATGGGTAACAACTCAGTAAAAGCAAAGTCCCTTTCTCTTCAGCAAGGACCGCTAAGTGTCAGGGCTTGTGAAACTGGCCACAGGAGCTAAAACAGTAAGGGAATCCCCTTTCTGGAAGACTTTTAGAATTTGGGAGTGGCCCAGCCAAGAGGAGCAATTTGTTCTGTTGACAGCTGCATACTGTTCTGGAACAGAACAAGAAGTCGGGGTGAACTGTAGCCTCAAAGGGACTCACACTCTAATGAGGCTGGAGTCCAGAGAGGAGGCTACAACCCTGCCATTTCACATTACCCCGACAGGGATGCAGGACCATGAACGCTTTTTTAAGGAACAATGCATAAGGACAACTGACTCAAAATAACTGTGCTGTGAGCATCATAGAAATCTCTGGACTGAGCAGGAGGGTAAGGAAGGGGGATATGGCAAGGCTGGGCAGTGTGGAGATAACATGGCTGCCTGGACAGAGGGTGGAAAGAAGACTAGAGAAGAGTGTCACTTAAGGAGATCTGGTGTGGGATGGGGGCAGCTGAACTCTAAGGCCTGTGCATTCTCTGAAGAACAAAAGCCTCCAGCCTGAGACTGCACTGAGACTGTCTGGATAGAGCAAGCTACAAATGCCTTATAAACTGTGTGTGGAAGCCCTCAGATTGAGCCATGACAGGGACACAAAGAGGGCTCAAAGCACCTCAACGATAATCCCTGAACACCAGGACTGCAGGGCAAGAGGCTTTGCTTCTGTGGATGCCCTGCCTTCATTTGGGAAGAAGCTGTCCACCTGGTCTCTTAAAGCATCTACCAGCCATAACTCCCATGACTATTGGCCCTACCAAGAGGAGAAAACTGAAAAATAATTCTGGCTCCATGAGATGGCTGAGCCTGATAATCTGAGTTTGATTCCCCAGTCCCATATGATGGAAGGAAAGAACTGATTCTCACAGGTTGTCTCTGACCTCCACAGGCACACATGGCGTGGGCTTAAAAAAGCAGGGGGGGGGGGGGGAGAGGAAAAAGAGGAGAGGGAGGAAAGAGAGAGAGAGAGAGGGAGAGAGGAAAAAGAGGAGAGGGAGGAGAGAGAGGAAAAAGGAGAGGGAGGAGAGAGAGAGAGAGAGAGAGAGAGAGAGAGAATAAAATGTTAAGCAAAAGAAGATTACTGTTGGATTTCCAAGAGCGTGTGTTCATCCCATCCCAAATGCTTGATATTTGTTAGTACTTTAGTGCAGAAGAGGAATGATGTCTCTGAGCCTTGGAAAATTATCATTCTCACTCTGATGGTCTCTGCTCTTTTATCACTAGCTATACTGACTTCCTTAGAGGACAGGCAGACTATGTGTGACTGTCTGTGTGTCTGTGTCTCTGTACTTCTGTGTGTGTGTGAATATGTGTAACTGTGCATGCATGCATGTGTGCTTAATGAGGAAGTACAAGAGTCTCAGCAGAACCACAGATCAGTGCAATGGAAAGCCTAGGGTTTAGAGTCTAAGACCAAATTCCAGTTATGATGCATCCCACCTGTAGGATGGAGATAAGCACTTCAACATTCCTTGTTTCAGTATCCTTGGCATACTGAATATTGGTGAAAATGATCTCTCCTTAGGGTACTACGAGTACAATGTGGTGAATGTATCAAACACCCGACACACAGAGACCTCATCTATGCTGGTCCCTCTTCTTACAGTTACTGAGTCTGGCCAGTGGGGATCACTCCAGTCCCTCCTGATCCTGTGGGAAAGGAAAGCAAGCCACAGGACCTCAAGCAGAGGGAGGAGCTGTGGAAAGGTGGAGGTGAGCCCTACAGACAAGGGGAGGCCAGCACTAAAGGGCCTGTCCACTGTTTCAAAGACACCTTGCTTCTTTGTGGACAGAGGGGCAGGAGGTGATAGCACCTCAGCACCATCGGCCTGAGGCATCTGTCACCTCTGCTAGGCATGGCGTTGTTGACACACTTAGTACTCCACAAAGGAGGCACTCAGATCCCATTTTGCAGATGAAGAAACTGCTGAGGGCGAGTGGCTGTCCAAGACCATACCCAAAGAACTAATCCACTCTGATCCCAGACACCAGGCTCCTCCCTTCTGCACCACAGCTCCCATCACACCTTGTATGGCAGGATGTGATGGCTCGGTCATCATTACCTCAGTGAAGAACTGTGGGCAAAGTAGTACTCAGTGAGGGTTTATTGACATTATGGGATGATATTGACTCTTACAATATTTCAGAAAACAGACTGGGGACACTGACAATCAGAGAGGCTGAGCACCTCTCCCTGAGTCACCAAGCAAGGGAACTACAGAATAAGACCTCACACCCAATGGTTCCACAGCATATTCCTGGGAGAGAAACACTGCCCAGATTCATGGAGGCAAGATACCTACAAGAAAGGAGGCCTTATAGGTTAGCTTTCATGGAAAGTAATCTTTTCTCCTTGATAAAGTATTCATGGGTCAGTCTTACAATGCCTGAAACTTACTTTCAAATGATTCAATGATAAAAAGTCCCAAATAGTAACAGTTATCAGACCCAGGTGATTTTATTATGTCCCCAACTTTGTAGCTTAGAAAATTTCCAGAATAGGAAATTGGAGACAAACAAGCTTTCTGTGTCTCTCCCTTTCTGAAGGGCCCTGGAGACCTGGTTCCCAGCAACCATAGCTGATGTGACAGGCAACACTTACTCAGACACTGAGAATCCGAGAGTGGGGTCTCTGACTGTGACCACTGCAACCTCTGCCCCTCACTGTCCATACAGAAGGCCTCCCCACTGTCCCTGTCCTTCTGGCTGGCTCGGTACTGGCCATCCTGGTCACACTGTAGGCCGGCCTCATTCCTCTGACAGTCAGTGACACCTGGAACAACAGATAGGCACAGCAGTCAGGACTCTGTGGTCCCCTCCTTCTCTCCTAACTCCAAGGCCCCTGGACATTGGTAATGGCAGAGTCCCGTGGCTGACCCAGACATTTTAGCTTACAGTTCTTCAGTGTGTCCACCTTCACCAACACACCAGTCAGGCTTCTTGTTGGAGCCAAAAAGCGCCTTCCATCCAAATTCCTTCACCAAGTACCACGTGTCATCTGCTGCCCTCAGGGTTGTGAACATACCAGCTTCTCTGCGCCCATCTACTCAGACACAGACTTTATATACTGATCTTACTGATCTTTTCCCTTCCTTCCTTCCTTCCATCCTTCCTTCCTTCCTTCCTTCCTTCCTTCCTTCCTCCCTCCCTCCCTCCCTCCTTTCTTTCTTTCTTTCTTTCTTTCTCTCTTTCTCTCTTTCTCTCTTGTTATTTTTGTTTTTGCTTGTTGTTTATTGAGACAAGGTCTCATATAGCCCAGATTGGCCCTGAACTCACTAGGTACCTGAGGATGACCTTGGACTTCTGATCCTCCTGCCTCTGTTTCCTGAGTGCTAGCAATACAGGCACGTGCCACCATGCCTAATCTATGTGAGATCAAGCCCACAGCTCTGTGTACACTAGACAAGCACTTTGTCGGCTGAACTATATCCCCAGTCTAAGTGCTCATCTTTCTGCTGGTGTACACTGCCCTAGGCCTAGCTGTGTGGCCTCTTCACCACTCACAGGCTCCACTGAATGTTGTGTCTCTCATGTAGTTTATCTCTTCAAACTCAAGGGGAAATTTAATCCCCATAATCAGGTACTAAGAATGAAAGAAAATTTAGGGGTGATTAGCATTAGGTGAGGCCTTAGGCTGGAGACCCCATGATGAATCCTGGTGGCCTTAAACATGGAATCAAGATCAGGACAGGCACAGATAGACAAATGTTCCTTGTCTCTGGCTATGTGTGATGCCCTGCATCCCCTTAGGACTCTGCCAACAGGGGCATCATCATATGGGGCCACAAGATCTTGCATCCCCAGAACCATGAGCCAAAAGAAACATCTTTTCTCTATAAAGCCTGACTGTATCAAATAGCTCATCATTCAAGAACAGAACTATGGGGCCACATCTCAATCCCTATGGCCTCAAGGAAGCACTCTTGCTATGGTCTGAATGTGTTCTCTCTTAAAATTCAGATGTTGGCATCTAATCCTCAGTGTAATGGGAGTAGGAGATGGGGCCATAAGGAAGTGATTAGGTCATGAGAGTGGAGCCCTCAGGCATGAGATTAGTACCCTTTAACAGTGGAGAAGGGAGCTGGCACATACCTTCTGTCATGGAAGCACACCGAGAAAGGTGCAATCTATGATATTTTCAGCAGGCACAGAACCTACTGGCATCCTGAACTTGGGCTACCAGCCTCCAGAATGGTAAGAAACAAAGATCTGTTGTCTTTAAATCACCAAGCCTACCATAGCTTCTTCTAGCCACCTAGCAGACCAGGACATCTTCAGATACCTGGCTTTGTCTTGTCCAACGCTACACACTTTCCCTGGGACTGACATCTCTCCTTCACAGAGGGATCGGTTCTAGATGTGCTCCTGCCTGAATCTCCTCACTTTGCCAGTATCTGGCATGGAATACACATTCCCTGTGAGTTTGAGCTGGATCCACAAAGAACAGCTCTCTCCCTGTACTCAAGTTACTTCCCCTTCCTGAAGTCCTTTTTCCTCCTGCCCCCAGCCTCTGGAGCTCTCCACTAACACTGCTCTGAACACAGGAAGATGCATGAGGAGTGGTTATGATGGAGTCCAGTGCTCTCTGGCTGTGCAGGTGTCTTCAAAGCCCCTCAAGCAGTGCCTGTGGGGGAGTATCATACATTAAACACTTCCTGTCTTCTGGCTATGGACTGGATGCTATATCTGCTCCAGCCCATGTGCTGAAGCCCCAGTTTTCCATGGGATGGAATTTGAAGAGAGGGCTTTTGGGATGTAATTACAGGAAAATGAGGTCAAAGTTTGGAACATGGCAGAATTTATGTCTATACAAAGAGGAGGTCAGGAGGTCTCTGTGTGTGCACCACATAAATGCCACATAAAATAAGCAGCCAAAGAGCCCTGACCTTAACACCAGTACCGCACTTTCCCCAACCGTACCCTCCATACCCGACTATGTTGGCACACTGTCCATGCACCATGAGAACCATGGAAAACCAATACTTATCACTTCAACTACCCTGTCAGGTGATATGTCAGGAATGTGGCATCACCACTCTGTGTAAGAGAGCACAGAACTGGCAAAGAAGGAAAGATGCTTGATTTGGGTCACCGTGCTGGCAAGGAGAGAGGGCCCAATCAGGCTTTAGCTGATACAGGCATCAGCATTGGTCCTTTGCTCACCTCTGCCATGTCCTCTTTATGATGAGGGTCAGTGCATGACACTGACCCCTTTAAGAAAGTGCTTCTTTGGAACAGGGACACCATGTCAGGTCACATCTACCTATGAGAGCTAAAGTCAGTGCATAAGGGGAAGCAGAATCCTAATGTCAAGGACACTCTGTTGGGGGGGGTGGGGGGTTCCTCTAGGGAACAGCAAGCTCCTGCCTACACAAATCTCTCATTTAGAATCTGTCAGAATTGTCATCCTATAAGCACAGGCCTCCTTTCCAAGGAAACTTCCCTCAACAAAGAAAATGACTTCATCTCTTTTGATCACTTTTTTAAAAATCTGGAAACTATTCACATTGTAAGCAACAAAAGGTTGCTTTTTACTAACATAATTTCAGACTGACATGAAAAGATCTATCACAAAGCATAGGGCCTTGCCAGTAAAAACCCAAGGATGCCCAGGTAATTGTTTAGTAATCAGGTCAAGAGAAATCACGTGACATACGAGAAGGCCAAGTCTATGAGGCTGGCAAACACAGGGCCAGAAAGGATTGAGTATGCCTGACGCAGTAGTAATGAGTCTTGGTGGAACAATCTTCCACTTCCGGATCTGATAAGGTTGATTTACAAAAATCAGAAGTTTCAGAATCAGACAAAACTAAGATCAAAGATCAGCTGAGTTAGCTGCGTGGCTCTGGCTGTTACCTCGCTTCTCTGAGCCCTCACCTTTTCTGTAAAAGTTGGGCTACACTATCTACGTGGTAAAGTGGTTGGGAGGATTGAAAGAGACCATGAAGGTAACATGCGTAACCTAGCCTAACACGGGACCAGTATTCATAGAGGATGGATTTCAATTATGATGCTGTGTGCACAATGGTTCTTGATGGTGGGAAATTTTACCCTCAACCACACAAGAGATACTTGGCATTGCCTGGAGTCAAATTTGCTTGTTACAGCTTGGGGAGAGGCTGCTGCTGGCATCTAGCAGATATGGGCTAATGACACTATTAAACACCCTGTCACTGCAGGACAGTCCCCACAGTGAAGAGAGATCTGTCTGCAAATGTCTCCAGCTCCGAGGCTGAGCAGCTGTGCAGTGTCCCACTATGTGGCAAAGCTTCTCTTTCAGAGTGGCCCTGAGGCACTTACAGTGAGTCCAGCTGAAAGCTCCGGTGGAGACAGTCGTCCTGCCCCTGGGACAAGGCACACAGGCCGAGCTGCCTGCCCGTTCTTGGTAGAAGCCAGCAGGACAGGGAACGCATCGCTCATCCTGAGAGTAGCTTCCTTCAGGACACTTTACTAAGGGCACAAACACAGAAATGATGTTAAAGGGGAACACTTGCTTTACAGCCACAAGGCAGGACTCACCAGGCTGAGGAATCCTAAACTCAGCCCAGGATCCAATTGTTGCAACTAATGAGAAACAACTGAGCCTTGGGCTCCAAAGCCAAGAGCTCAGCCATGAAGAAGGCAGGCAGGCCCTGCTCCTCAGCAGCTGAGGACCTGCAGGAAGTAAGGGATTCAGGCAAGATTTCAGATGGGAGTCAAATGAGGCAGGAGATAAGAAGCACATTAGAGAGTAATGTCCTCTGAGAGGGTAACACTGGAGAGCAGAGTGATGAGGAGGGCCTAATACCAGGCAACATGACGAGTGAAAAATCTGCATGGTGGGAACATGAAGACAATGGCTAGTCACCGAGCCGGAGCTGAGCTTGCCAAGGGGAGGGAGAATGGCAGAGATGAGGCTGGCGGCAGTGGAAAAGATAAGGACCATCCATAGTCATGAGAATGTGTCCCCAGTTAAGGGCGTGGTGGACAGTGGAGGGTGCAGGCAGATGAGATGAAGTCTCACTGCCGAGAAAGCTGTGGGGATCTTCTGGGATCATTTTCCCTGTGTGAAATGCAGTGAGTTGCAGTACCTTATTGGGGAGTAATGATATGAACATGCAGCATCTATCATAATACCGGGCTCACGTGTGCCTACAACAAACAACTACTTTTACCTTGAGAGAGTCCTATCTTAGAGCCAACATTAACATGCACTCTGTTCAAACAGGTGTTCCTTGATGGGGTAATTCAGTACCATCTCTCTTGACTCATGGCTTCTGTCCCTGTGGGTCATCGACTAACAGAACTGCTCACTCTGGAAATGGGTAAGACTACTGGGGTACCCAGCAAACAACATGAAAGGCAGTTCTTGCTACAAGGACTTTGGGGTTTCTGATTGCTTCAGACAGTCCAAGTCTAACTTCGAGAGTGGGAGCTTTTTTCAATTTGGCATCCTGATGCCAGTGTCTTTCTACAGTCCTCTCCCAAATTACAGTGCGCATCTGCCAGTACCCAGTGCTTTCTGTCCCTCCGACACCTCTGGTCTCTCCTCATTTCCCTTCTCCAATATGACGTAGACTGGGAACCTAGAAGGCCAACTGGAGAGATGCATACCTCATAGGGCCTCCAAGTTAGAGGCCCAGGAGCTCTGTTGCAAGGCTGATGGCTCAGAGAAGGGTGGAAAGGACCTTGTCCTTTCTACTGGTTCAGGGTTATATTTCCAACAGTTTGTCAAATAATGTCAAGAACCAAGTTTTGCTCAGTAAAAGGTGGAGCAAAAATCTTGCTCACCCTTGGTACAATCACTATGCCTAGTACTCTGCTGTGGATGATAAATGCATTAATATATTACTGCTAAGCATTAGTATTTATTACCATCTCACAAGTGACGTGACCAAGCCAAGGGTACTCAGGCATCACTTCCTAGAGTGCTGTCCTAGAAGAGGAGCTGAATAGAATTATAACACGTCAAGCACAATACCAGATGATTTTGTGTGTTGTCTCACAACTCTATGAAAAGGATATCTTCCCTGTAGAAAACTGGGGGTCAAGGTCATAGTTGGCCAGGCAGTGAAACAACTGGCAACAAAGACAGCACAAAGGGATGCTGTGTTCTGAGATGGAGCCAATTACTAGCTACTGTCCCTGGTCTGCATGTGTACTGGGCGTCTGAGTAAATCAGAAACTCGAACCACATCTTGGAAAGTGGTAAGTACTTTCCTAGTCTGCCCTAGTAGTGAATATCCTTCCTCTGAGAATAAAGTTTCATTACTTCTATGAGTCAGGTTCATGACCTTTTTTTCTTTTCAAGTGAGTACCCTGTAAATTCAGTGCTAAAGGAAAAAAAAGCTTCCAGGTTAGTGCAAGTGGCTCTGCCATCTCCCCCCAGGTGCTGGTGAGGACAAGAGCAGAGAGCTGGGGGGATGCCAGCAAGACCAGGGTGCCATCTGCATGAGGCGCGTGCAGGCTGTTTCCCCAATGCAACTCTGCGCCTGCTGTCAAGAGTCTTTCCATATGAAGGGTGCTTCTGTAGGTCAGAATGGGGCAGTGCCTGTTGATCATCCACCTCCCCTCAGCAGGTGGCTCCTCTCAAGACCAGGGAGTCCATTGTGGCCCCTGCATGTTCACCTTCACCTCCGACTACCTCCCTCCTTCAGCCAGAATCACTGAGAACTTCAGAGCAGCTCTCTCCTTTGCACAATACAGCAGCTGCCCACTATTTGAGTTTGAGAGTTTACAAGGCTTTGAGATACTTCCTGCCTGCCCCTCTCACAGCCCTGAGCTGTGACACCCATGTTTTGCAGAGGAAAAATATACCTATGAAGAAATGGCATAGCTCTTTACTTCCTGGGAAGTTCACAAAAGTCTTGTCAAATTCTAGCCCTGTCACTCTCCAGTTCAAAATTCTCCCATGGTGCCCCATCAGTGGTCCACATCTCTGCTTCTTCTGTCCTGTCTCTCTGGGTCACCTGCTGCCACATTTCCCACAGACCCCATCTACTACTTTTGCACTAATCTCCATTTCTAGAATGGTCTTTGCTTTGGTGCCCCAACACAGACACAGACACAGACACAGACACAGACACAGACACACACACACACACACACACACACACACACACCACATACTGCTCTCTATCTGCCTATCTGAGCAGCAATTCCTACTTACTTCTCCAGACCCCATCCACCACCTGCTTCCCCATCATGCTTTCCTGACTGCCCTGGAGGGCTCTTTATGCCACAGTCCCCTGGTCAAGTCATGCGTCTTCCCTGAACTAAAACATGAGTTCTTTCAAAGTGGTGCCACGCTCTTTGCTTCTTTGCACATGTGGCATGGTTTTTGCACATAATTATATTTTTAAAGCTTAGATGGATGAATGGATGAGAGGGAGGAAGGAATGAAAGAAAGAAGGGGAAAATCCTTAACACAGTACCTCAGAAAAAACTTCCCAGGGAACCAGTTCTATTATAAGAAATTATAGTGGAAAATAATAGAGGCTACATGAAAATTAATGTCATCCAGAAAGGAAAATGGAAATTCTAGACAATTTCCTCATGCTCCTCAGTACCAGCAGGGAACTTCAGGGAAGCCATGTGGATGCCTGGAAACAAGGTGAACAAATCAGACCCCCAATAGCGCAGCAAGCAAGGACTCCACTTTCCAGTTGCATCACTTCCCAGGATCAGGACAGCCATGTCTACATGGGTCATGGGAAGGAAAGCTCCTTCTGGCCCCAATCACTGCCCTCCCAGGGGGCTACCAACACCAGACCCAGAAGATGACACGGAGAAACCCTGCTTCACCTCCACAGTACAATGCTCTTCCTTGAAGCTCCACAGCTGTGTTCCAGATGTGTTTTAGAAGGAAAGGAGCCAAGAAGCAGAAACTTACTTCTCAGAGTACAAGCTTTCACTGCAACTCCCTTGTCGAGAAGGGAGAGGTGTGATGCAGGACTGGAACCAAAAATCCAGAGGCAGATAAAGCCAACACGCACTCATGTCTACACTGCCAAATAGCAGGGGCGTTTGTTGAGAGTGGGTCACAAGCAGAGAAATGTGCCTTGTATCAATGAGTTCATGTTCTTAGGGAGGACAATCAACTTTTCCCTTCCCTTTTCCCAGAATGATAAAGTGCCAGAGACAGGACTCAAGCCCAGGTGTGTCTGACTCTAAAGATCAATTTCCTACGTGTGTACAGGAAGCTGTAGGTCCCAGCTTCCTCACAACATAGGGTGGGCACACTCAACTCTGGACAGAAATACCAACAAGGCCACACATGTGAGAAACCCACTGAGGGTTGTCAGATGTCAGCACGGATACTGGAGAAAAAACAAGGTTTCTGTGTTGCTTTCATGAACTCATTCTGGACCTTTCTTCCTAAAGAGAGAAGGAAGGCTGAATGGTGGGATGTTTGTGAGCCAGTAAAAAGATACAGCAGCCGGGCATGGTGGCACATGCCTATAGTCCCAGCACTTGGGAGGCAGAGGCAGGCGGATCTCTGCGAGTTCAAGGCCAGCCTGGTCTACATAGTGAGTTCCAGGCCAGCTGGGGCTACAGGGAGACCCTGTCTCAAAAAGACAAAAAAAAAAAAAAGAAAGAAAGAAAGAAAAGAAAAGATACAGCAGTGTTTATCTGGAGCAAGGCGGCCAAGCTGCAAAACTCTACCAATGCAGCTGGCCTTCTGCATCGGTAAGTTGAGGTTTATTGGAATCTCGTCCCATTTTGCTTTTTCCAGGGACTGAATCAAGCTATTGAGACAATATTGCATGGCCCAGAAAGTCACAAATATTGGTTACATGGCCCTTTACAGAAAAAGATTGCGAAGCCTATTCTCAGGCCCTTTCTTCAGACACCACCCTGTGCTTCTCAGAGGGCTCACTGAAGCCTTTCCCACCCTGATGCCAGCTGCTGATTTCCAGAGCTCCCAATCATCCACACAGGGTATATCCTCCAGGCAAAGCCCCGCTAGCTAATCCTCCACACAATAATAGAAATTGATAGCCACTACTGATCAAACACCCTAAGGAACCTTGGGATTATGTTTCTAGCAGGGCCCATTATTTCATGTGTATTATAATATTAATACATATGTCACTATATGCACATAAACCTGCACACCCCAACTTATCAGAATTAATTGGAGAAGCCTGGGACAGTGCATATTAAAGTCTGAAATACAGTGGCAGGAGTCTGTGAGACTGGCCTGGTTTGTGATCTGTTTCACCCATGCCGGCAGGTGCTACCTGCCACTCCTCCAATTTTTCATCCTCCTATTTGAGCAGCTGGGGGGGAGGGTAGAAAGGCAGATCATGGGTTCTGGTTCAAGAAGGCCTGGGGTTTCTAACCACTGATCCTGGGTTTGATGACTTCAGGTTGCACAAAACCACCTAACAGAACCTCTGTCTCTTGATCTGTCTCAGGGGAAAAGGCCCTGTTACCACGTATTCTTGTGAGATAATTTTTTTTTGGTCTTTTTGAGACAGGGTCTCCCTGTAGCCCCAGCTGTCCTGGAACTCATGATGTAGACCAGGCTGGCCTTGAACTCACAGAGATCCACCTGCCTCTGCCTCCCGAGTGCTGGGATTAAAGGCGTGTGCCACCACGCCCGACAAGATAAATATTTTTAAAGCTATACTGCAGAGTGTAAAATCTTCAGCAAATACTGGCAGAGAGTGGTTGTGCTTCTGTTCCCTGTGCTAGGATGAAGCCGTTGCTCAAATCCAGCTTTCAATCTGGTGAGGATTTCAGAAAAGAAAAGTCAGTGTAGCTTTTGTGTTGCAACCAATATAAATAATGGAGAAAAAAATAACTGAGAACATCTCTCTCCAGCTCAATAAAAATGTCTCTCCATCTTCCATGTGGGAAGGTCCCCACTTTATCATGAAACCATTGAAACTTTGGTGATAAGACAGAATGATGTCCTCCCCAGCTACACCCACAGATGACCACATCCCTATCCCTAGAACATGCACATTAAGTTATGCGGCCAAAGGGAATTAAAGCTACAGATGAAATTAAGGTCACAAATGAACTAACCTTGTAGTCAGGGGGAGCATCCTGAATTTCCCAGCTGTGGGTCATTAAAAGGACTCTTAAATCAGAAAGAGATGTGATTCAGGAAGCAAGGAGGGTCAGAAAGCTATGGTGCTGTTGCCTTTGACAATTAAAGAGAGATCCTAGGCCAGGAAGTATAGCTGGCCTCTAGAAACTGGTGTTGCCAGATCCCCCAGGGCCTCTGAGAGGAACGCAGTCCTGAGGATGCTTTGATTCTAGCCATAGACCCATGCTGGAATGCAACCTGCTGAACCATGATAATAGACTGAGTCTGGGGTGATTTGTAATGACAGCAATAAGAAAATGACACAGCTTTCATTCACTTTGCAGCTGCATTCCTGTGGAAATGATCTTCAAAGCTGCTCACCAGCTAGTGCAGGAACAGCGAAGCCAGTCTGCAACAGGTCTCATCTCCCTGAGCCACAAGATTGGGCTGGCAAGTGGCCAAGTTGAGGAGTGACATCTTGCTACAACCAGACCACCAAATGTCCACTCAGGTTATAAGGCAGACAGTGAATTTCTTGACACAGACAGTGAGCCAGCCGCAGAGGTCAAGGTGGGGCAGAACTAGCAGAAAGGACAACTTTGCACATTGACTTCTTCCTCCTGCCCAGCTTTATGGACAATAACTAGTAGGTAAAGCCCACACAAAGTGGAAAGTGGAAAATGCTTATTGACCAATGTATGGATGATGCCTTGGAGTTTGGGGGCTCTTCTTGAAGCCTCTGAGGCTCCAGACCACAGTCCAGAGAGGTGGGGGGGCACTTACCACAGCCCAGAGGATCCTGATTATCTTCACTGGGGGTTGAGACTCGGTAGAATCCTTCCAAGCATCCCAACCGGATCCTGGGAGAGATGCCAAAGTGGTCCCCATGGAGGAAGTAGAGGAAGGTGTCTGCTGAGAATGTCTTGGAGTCCAGATCAAGTTGGAACTTGCCTCTTTGGATGAGATCTGTAAAGCGTCCAAGGAGATCCTGACCCAATAAGATCCTTTCTGTAAGACACAGAAAAGGCAGAGGTCACCCAACTGTTCACTGCAGGGTCAAGGAGGATAAAGAAGGGCCCAGCTGTGTAGAACATCCTGGTGGAAGGGACATATGGGCATCATGTGCTCCCTTGCTAGACAGAAGGACAGACCAGGCTCAGAGATCAAGATTGGCTGGCCCAAGGTTACAAGTGAGTCACACATACAAGTCAAACTCCAGTCCAAGTCTCGGGCTCTATGGCACCAATGGGATGCAACTTGGTATAAAATAGTACGCTTTGTCATTAATCTAAGGTATGCTATCCAGATACTCAGCCACCGCAGTCTTCAGAAGCCACCACCTCTGAGCCTGGGTGTTTGCATCTGCTCAGTAGGTATGGGAATGCTTTCAGATGGGGAGGTTCCCGAGGGACAGCATGACTATAGGGGCTGCCCACAGGAAAGGCATGGCCTTCTGGAGGCAACACAGCTTTTACTATTCTGCTAAACATGAAGATGGATATAGTTTCCCAAGAAGAAATCAAAGGAGTGCCACATGAAGTGCTGGGGAAGATCCGTGTATATAGCAAACATCCATGTTGCAACTTGTCATTGGAAAGCCAGCCATGGCCTGAAGCCAGTCATTACTGTCCCCACATTGAAGGAGGGGACAAACATCTCGGTTTCTGCAATATCAAATGCTTCCAAGTTATGAGGCTCTCTCAGGGGTAGGCTGAGGGGATCCCTAATTTATAGATTATTGCCATGGCAACAAGAGGAGGCCAAAAAGAGTGATAGACTTGCAGCCTGCTTCCTGAGAGATGCTTTAGTCATGTTTTCTGGGATTTCTGTCCATAGAACAGAATAAGTTCTAGCTACTGAGTGACCCTGGTTGTCTTGCCACCGGATGATAGAAGAAAAATAGGAGTTACCCTTCAGACCCTGCTTGGAAATATGAGGAATACCTCCTAGGCTACCAGAAAGCTCATGGAAACATGGCTCAGACTCATGACATTCCTCATACCACTGACTCTGCCCTTCCGCTGAGATCTCTGTGGTCTCTCAATTCACCCCTGTCATAACTGTCTGGGAAGGGTAGATACACATTGTAAACCAGTGAAGACTCACTCTCCCCACTTCATCGCTCGTTCATACAGTCTGCTTCACCTCTCCACAGAGAAAATCAGAACTAAAGGATGCTCATGGAAGTCTCTTAGCCTCCCTGTTGCTTATCATGCTGTTTGTCCCTGTTGCAGAACTCTGCTGACTTACATATATATGTTTTCATATGCAGCTAGCTCTTCCCAAAGGCCAGGCACATGACTCTCCTTCACTGTCGTGAGAAAGCTGGTGCTTTCCCCAGCTCCATTAGAAGGAAAGCGTCTGAGGCCTGATGAGGCTGCTCAGTTTCTTCAACACGGTAATGAAGACACACATACCAATGCTCTGCAAATCTGGAAGCGAGGCCACCGAGATGTCCTCAAGCCGTAATTTCCACGTGACATTCACTCCTAAACGCTCCGAAGTCAGACACCCCACCTGTACTGAGGAGTCGTCACAGACAGGACTGGAAACCAGGGTTCCAAACGTCTTCACCTACATGGGGAGGGACGTCTTGGTTCAGGGACACAGAGCAGTTGCTGATGTCAAGCCCATGTCAGAAGCCTAAAGGGCATGCATTTACTCCTGTAATCTTCCACCACCCTGCTCCCAGGGACGAGGCACTGGAAAGTCCCTTCCCCACTTGAGGTTTCCTGACAGCTGATACGTTCAGCCCAAGTCCTCACTGTGGGGAAGGCCAGCATGTACCTGGATCTGGCAGAAGCCACGGGCTGTCAACTCATCCTGTATGAGGACCTGGAAAGCCTGCAGCAAGCCAGCGTAGTCAGCACTACACATCTTGCCTGGTGGGAGCAGTAGCTGAAAGTGCACTCGGGTCTGCACGGTCTGCCACAGCTGGGGCCCTGCAGCCAAGCACATCAGGTCAGTGGGACTCTTTCCTATACAAAGAGCCCATCCTCATTTAGCTTAAATAGCCAGCACTGCCATTTTGCACTTCCATCCTCAGGGGCTCCTGCTTTCTGACACGCTGGTGTGACTGCTCAGAGCTACCTCAGGCTTTAAACCAGGGTGCTTCACAAGGCTGTGACATTCTTTCTGGAAAATTTTCCCTACAGCTCTGCACATGAACGCCACCACGCCACATGGTTCTGCAAGCTAAGAGTAGATGGTATCTAAGGTTGTGCAGTGTTCCATGGTGCTCCCCTTGGTCTTGATTTCAGCTTGAGACCACTCTACCACAGACAAAGGGACAAGTTTCTTATTTTTCCAAATCACGTCTTAGACTTTTTCTGGATGAGAATCCTCTATAACCCAGAGTGCTTTGCAACTAATATTTCCCTGGACACTGGCAGCCAGCTATATAGCCTAGGGATCCAGACCAGTCCTAGGATCTGAGTCTCTACCCAGGATGTCCTTCCATCCTGAAGTTTTGGTTGTCCAGTTCTGCCTGGTCTGTTGGAGCTACTCCTAGCCTGACCTTGCCAAGTCAGGCATGGCTAGAACCCCATGCTACCACATAGTCACATATGTGTGTGCTTTTGCTTTAGTCAGGTGGGGTCAGTGTGGCACCAGAAGGACCTGTGCACAGAAAGAGGATGGTGTTTACGTAAGCTACTGACATCCATCTGGCACAGGGCTTGGACCCCTGCAGTGCCAGGCATTTACCATGGAGGTCCACGTGGACATGGGGAGAGGCTAGAGGTCACTGTCAGGCTAGATAAACAACACTAAGCACATCATACATGGTCCCAAACTTGGCTGCTGGGACATCTACCAGCTGAATGTCTGTCCTGAATCCAAGACACCCCGGGAGAACTGGAATGATGGCAATTCTCCCATGAAACAGATGGCACCAGAGAGCCACAAATAAAGCCTAACTCCAGGAGCTGTGGAGCACATCTGCTCCTTCTAGCAGTGCTCCACAGGGCCAGCTCCCCTACTCTGGTGCCACCTGGCTTTCTATGGAAAGGCTTAATTTAAATGGGAGAGAGTTTCCTCAGTCATGACCCTAAGAGGGAGCAAAGTGTACGACAGATACCCCAGAAGTCACTCACGCTGGCAGGCTTGGGGGGATGGTGGTGGCGATACCCAGCGCTGACTCTCCAGGCTACACATCAATGGACCTGATGGGAATACGCTCTGGTGGCCCTGGCGGCAGAGCAGCTGGCATTGCTGGACCACAGCCCCTCCTGGGCCTGAGGTTGTCTCACAGAGGACCACTCCACCAGCTACATCAGGTGCAGAGAACGGCAGTGGACACTGTGGGCCTGGGACCAGGAGAAAGGACAGTCATGGGCATCTGCCAGGCTACAGCCCAGCTCCTGCCCATCTTTCTGTTTTCCTTAGTTGGTCCCTTTCCTGTTTGTTCCCTGATCTCAGGCAGGGCCCAGGCCTTTCCTCTCCCTCTATGCCTAATCTATAATATTTACTAACATCTCTATTCCCTGTCCTGAAGTAAGGTATTCATAGACAGTTTACCATGCCTGGTCATGTCAATTCAAAGTCTTGAGAACACAGGAGAAATAAAAGGGAAATAATCCTATTGGGGCAGGGTAGATTTTTCTTTTGTTGTTGTTGTTGTTTTGTTTTTGTTTTAGACAGGGTCTTGCTATGTATGTTAGACAGGATGGCCTCAAACTGGTGATCCTTTTAGTGCTGGAACTATAAGCATTGTCTCTATGGTAGGTTCTTAAATAGTACATTTTGAAATGTAAAGATTTATTTTGGTATTCTAATATATACTCATACGATGTATATCTCAATATCTGATAGTCAAATAACTTTCTAGATAACAAAATGAGCAGTTGGGGTGAAGAGACAGTTGAGTGGCTAAGAGCACTTACTGCTCTTGTAGAAGATTCAAGTTGGTTCCCAGCACCTATATGAGGTGGTCACAACCATAACCCCTGCTCCGGGGACTCTGATTCACCTGTGGTCTCTGAGGGTATCTATGCTCATATACACATACCACCTTCCCAACACACACATGGAATAATAAAAATAAATCTTTTTTAATGAGCAAGTTGATAGCTCTCTAGATGTCAGAAATGCAAGTCTCCCTTGAGATCCTGAAATTAGGCTGCTTCTCCAAACCAGGACAACAGGGAGAGCCATCCCAGACTCCTCCTCTGGTAGTAGCACCAGGCTCTTTCCAATTTCAAACCTAGGCTGTTTCTTTGGAAGTGCACACTGGTTTCCACAGCCTGTCAATCAGCCCTGTGCATATCCCTTGCGTGTTCTTTGCCCGTTCCTGTTCCTACAGCTTAGCCTCCCTGAGACTCCCAGCCCAGGTATAGGATGAGGCTTGCAGCCTGTGATTCTTCCAGTGGCTCAGGACTTACTCTCACAGACAGGCTTGCTGCCCACTATGCGTGTCCCAGGAACCTCTTCTCCACTGTCCAGGGTACACCAGCAGCTTCCCTGGGCCAGGTCACACTGCACTGGGGAGAAGCCCCCATCGTGTGCCTCACAGGCTGGTAGATAGCCAGGGCCGACTCTCCTAGACAGGGCTCCGCTCCTGAGGACATCGCAGAGGCCTGGGCCTGGCCAGAGACAAGTGTGGGGAGCAGGGCTACAGCCTCTGCTCCCTGTGTAGGCACAGCTATCACATCCCTCCCCCACTCCTGCCACCCTAGGCCAGCTGCCTGCAGTGTCCCAGGGGTCTCTGCCCTGTCCCTCCCATTGCCTGGCCTGGAGTGGCTCATCCTCACACATTTCAGTGGCGAGCAGTTGGAAAGAAAGAAGGCAAGGGTGCAATGTGGAGCCATGGGGAGGCCCTGAGTTAGCAAAGAGGACTGTGGAGGCTTCTAGAGAACTGCTGGGAATCTGTGAGACTCAGTTGGATAGGAGTGCTTCCTTCCAGGCTGGAGAGCCAGACTGAATAAAAGTCTGGAAGAGAGCGTGTCCCCTCCCTTCAAGTGCTGATCACAATTTGTTACAAGATCCCAAGCACGAGCAATGCAAAGTAAAAGAACCAGATGCCCCACAGGAGCCTGACCTGGGGCCCCTTGGCTATACCAAAGAGTTCTGGCTTGGACCTGGGGTTAATGGAGCTCAGTGGTCTCCGGCAGAGAGGACACAAACACATGGCACTGGGGAGACATTCTCTGGGGTGTGGGGTCTGTAGTGCTTCAGGGCAACACAGTTGCTGTCCCCCAACGCACTAATGATCCCTTGGGCAGGGACAGATGCTGGCTAGTGCTTCTTGGTTCCAAAGCACAGACAGCTCCTTCCACACTGACTTCTCTGAGAACTGTTAAGATAGAAAGAGCACCTATTCTGTAGATGAGAAAGGTGGGCACAGTGGGATCAGGATTTGTGTTCCCAGCTGTGGGGGTAGCAGGTCTGAGACTATACCCAGTGCTCACTAGGGAGGCCATAGGGCAACAGGGGGAGGAACAATTACTCACACTGAGCACTGCTGTTTGTGTCTGGTGGGGTCGCTTCTCCTGAGGCTGGGTCCACACACCAGGTACTCATCCCTGATGCCTGCAGCCTGATGTACTCTCCTGTCTGAAATGAAGTCATCGTCACCTCATCACAGGCAAAGCTTTGCAGCTCACTTACTGGTGGGAGGAAATCTTAAAAGAATTTCCCTTTGCAAACAACTGGTGACAGCTTCTCAAACAAAAGGGAAGGTTCTGCATTGAATTGATGCTCTGAAATGATGGGTACAGCAACCCACGAACAAGGGCAAGTTGTCCCATTTGAGGACAGGGAAGGTCAAGGTTCATTCTGAAGTGATGGAGCAATGTCCCAGAGCTGGATAGTGACAGGTTGGGCCCAAACCATCTAGCCCCAAGCCCAAAATCACTGGTAATCAGGAGCCTTAAAAGGGGCCTTAGTGCTTGTAACTAATAATACAGATATGTCATATGACAGTTACCCAAACTCCATCTCTGGCTGGGGACCCACACAACAGAACCTACCAGTGTTGACTCTGCCTTTCCTGGCCTGTGTTAGGGTTCGCTGGCCTGACCCTGCAGGTAACCTTCCCAAGGACATATAGCCAGGTTCTAGCAGGACTGGGACAGACACCCTTGACTCCTGTGATCTTTTCCCAGTTCATTAAGCCAAATGAACCAAAAAACTAGAAAAGCCACCTCAGGAATGGAGAGATGGCTCAGTGGTTATGAGTACTGACTGCTTTTACAGACAACCAGGGTTCAATTCCCAGCACTCACATGGCAGCTGACAACCATCTGTAACTCCAGTTCCAGGGGAATTTGATGCTCTTTTCTGATTTCTTTGAGCATTGCATGACATACATGAGCATTGCACTTACATACATGCAGGCAACACACTTATACACATAAAAATAAAAATAATAACATTTATAAAAAGGAAAAGCCACCTCAGCCAGAGAGGCTGTGTCAATGACACTTTGTACCCTTTCCTGAGCCCTCGGAGTCTCACCTCCAGGCAGGCAGGAGTGAACAGGACTCCCGGGGCTGGGTTTCCTTGGGATCCAGTCTGTTTCCAAGCAGAAAGCAGCCCATTGACTCGGGATCGCTCACAGCTTGTGGGGCCTATGAGAGAGGGGAGTTCTCAGCAGATGGTCATGAAGATGAGGGAAGGTAGGGAGCCCTGGTTAACCCTAGCGCTTTTCAAAGAGCTGGAACCTCAGAGGAGAGGCAGGCTGTTGTTCAGGAACAGAGACACACAGGAATGGTCTGGAGCTTTGAGGGGTCCAGGGGGTCATTCACTGATGGCCTAGAGCTAACCTTCAGTGGGAGCTAGGCTGCAGGAACAATGTGAGGTGGTGCTAAAATCTCAAGAGTGGCTGGAGCTGCCCAGGAGCCAGGGCCCAGGGACCAAAGTCAGGCTGTCACTAGTCTAGCTCTTCCCTGCACACCCATAGTAGGAGAACCAGTGAGAAAGGGCCAAGGTCACCATGAGCCCCAGGCCTGGGGACTTGGGAAACTGTGTCCAGGGCATACTCAGGGATAGTCTGAAGGGCTAGACACTTGAGTTCTCAGTTGGGTGACCAAGCTGGCTCCAGAAGCATAGGCAGATGAAGGCTTCACTTACACTGGGGCCTCTGGGAGGAGCGGGCAGTCAGCGAGGCTGGAATCAGCTCGCCTCTCTCATCCACACACCAGCAGTAACCTGGAAAACAGCCACAGGCAAGAAGCTTAGGATGCATGCTGGGGAGTCTCCTGAGCATCCTGTGAACGACTTCCCTGCTTTTCAGTCATAGGACTACAGCAAGGTGGCCTATCTGTCGCCTGGTCCAGGCCCCCTGCCTGACATTGTCTATAATTCTAGGACCTTAGCATCCAATGTTCCCAGAACCCAAGCAATTGACATCAGGTTGACTGAATGTCCCTCCTTCCCTGTGTAAGGCAAGGGGCCTGGACCAGGCCAGAGAGGCTAAGAGTTTGTCCTAGTTGCTAGAGGGGCCAAGATCTGGTTTGCCCGCCTCCCATTTCACTTGCCATCCTAAGGTCCTCTTACCTGTCCCAGTGTGGCACTGCAAAGGCATCCAGCTCCCCAGAGCATCACACTGTGGTACATAGGGGTCCAGCTGCAGAGGGCTGACTGCTCCAGCTGACTCTCCCAGGGAAGCACGGCGACCCCTATAGAAGTTCAAGGCTAGAGCCACAGAAAGAAAGAAGAGTAAGGAAGTTGGCCCCTGGGCTCTGTCATTGAGATAAGCCAAGCACACTTCTCAACATGCCCTGATCCCACATAAGATGGCCTTCCTATAAACTGACAAACATTTCAACCTGAAGCATCACAGAGGCTCCTTGGACAGCTGGTAGGTGCTCAGCAGATTGCTCTGTAAACATAAACCGTAGGCTGCAGGTGGAAGAATCTCTGTAGCTCTCTGGTAACTTCACATAGAGCTGATTAGGCCAGTGGGTAGCTTCATGCCACCTTACTCCAGATAAGAGTCATGAGCAGTGAAGGTACCAGGCACTGTCCACTGGTTGACACCACACAGTCATGTGTTCAACCTTTTAACATTGCAACAGGACATTGTCATCTACAAAGTTCACACTCAAGAACCATACCGTGGAATTACAAAACTAAAATCTCAAAAGAATCTCATAACACTTTAAGTAAGTTCATGGTTCTGTGTTGGGCTATATTCATAGTTATCCTGGGATATATGTGGCCCATAGGGCTATGGGCTAGACAGACTTAGAACATGCTTAACTGAGTTATCTCCATGGGTCTATAAAGCATTCTCAACTCAGCTGATCAGTGACAACACTAAGGCAGACAGATAAGACACTTAACCCTGGTCTTGCAGCAGGACATGGAGGGTAGGCTTTGACCACATGGGGCCAGCCCATGCTGATTGTCCTCCTAGTCTTCTCTGCCACACTCTTATGAATTGTTTTCCTGCTCTTCAAAGCCTTGTAATCCACAGAACCTTACCCAATGTTCCCAACAGCTCCACAAATTCAGAACTGTCACCCATGTTAGAACTAAACTCAATGAGAAAGGCCAAGTGAACCCTGCTAAGGACTCTGCACCCAGTCCACAGCTCTTCCACCCCATGTGGCTCCTCTGCATAGCATCCACCCCTATTTCTCCCTCTACCTCCACACATCATCTGCCCCTACCTCTCCCCCACCTCTGTACAGCATTCACTGCCTTTAACACAACAGGTACATGCTGATCTATTTGTGTAAGTGTTCTTTTCCCAGGCTAGTGTTTAGGATTCATGCAGGGATTCACACTTATTTTACATTGGCTCATGGCGCGTACTCAAGAAATAATTAAACCTGTAATCCCAACTACCTATAATCCTCCCTCTGGGAGGCAGAATCAAGAGGCTCTCAAGTTGGAAGCCAGACAGGGCTACAGAGTAAGCTCAAGGCCAACATGGGAAACTTAGTAATCTTTCCCTTTAGGAGGCAGAGGCAAGATGATCTCATGTTGGAGGCCAGTCATGGCTACAGAGTAAGTTCGAGGCCAGCATGGGAAACTTAGGGAGTTAACTTCTCTCAAAATTAAAAGAAAAAAAGGGGGGAGTCCTGGGGTTGATATGAAAAAAAGGGGAAGAAATGAAGAGAGAGAATGAAAGAAGAAAGAAAGAAAGAAAGAAAGAAAGAAAGAAAGAAAGAAAGAAAGCAAAAGAGAAAGAAGGGAGGGAGGGAGGAGGGAGGGAAGGAAGGAGGGAGGGAGGGAAAGGGAAGGGAGGGAAGGAGAGAGAAAGAGAGAGAATTGACATAAAGGCCATGCATATGCACCCTTGAGACGAGGCAAAGAGGTGAGCAGTAGCCAAAGCATGCAGCCATCTGGTTCAGGTCCCCCAGCTCCTCATCCTGGGCTCCCACCACTCTCCTACATGACTGTTGTCTCTCCTATTTGGCCTGCAATCTCCTCTCTACAAATGTGGGTGCCAGAGCTAAGGTTGTGGCTCCTCCTCCAGATCCCAGAGGACTGCCATCTCTGGTACAAGTGGGGCAGTAGCTGTCTTCTGCATACTAGGGGAGTTCTTCCCAACCTGCTGCACATTGGAAATGGGCTTCATGGTTCCAGAAGAAGATCTTGCAGATATAAGGACAGCACCAACCCCCCATCAGAAACCACCTTTGAAGTAGCCTGGTGCTATGCATGGGGCTCTTGAAGCTGATAAGCCTCTGTGTAAATTCAGATACCACACCTCTTGACTATATAACCAGGAGCAAGTAGCCAACTTGCATTTGCTCAGGGTTATGTGTTATATACCATATCAAAAGAGCTAGTAGGTGATAAGCCATGTGCCATGCTTTTCTCCAGCCTCACCAGATTCTAGACAATGCTGCCATGTTCTGTTGGCCATAGGTATTTTGTGGCCTTCAGTCTATCTTTGTTCTGGGCCCTCAATCCCCAGCCCCTCAAAGTAAAGTGCAGCTGGGATGCCTCATTCTTTCTAGAATCTTCTTCTTTGTAGCCTCAGGCATGCAAAATCATGAGGCTAGCTAGAGAGGAACTTCTCAACTTGACTTCTGAAGAAAATGTCACCATGCCATGCACTGACAAATCTCTGGCACCAGCAGCTTCATTTCCTCTGCATCCCCATACTGTGAAGGGCCACTGGGGCCTCTCCCTGTGAGTGCATCAAGCTCCATCCATTCACAAAATTTCAAGTAACTACTTTCCTGTCAGAATCAGAAGTGCCCAGGTCTCTGGGGAATAGAGAAAGGGGGTAACTAGGCAGAATAAGGGGCATGGAAAGAGGAGGGAGCAGCAAGGCAAGTGACCACAGGACTGCCTGGACCAGGTGCTGAGCAGGCCCTGGACACAAAGGAAGGTTAGGATGGTACCGTGCGTTGGCCTCCAGAGCAATGGTCTGGTAATGGAGAAAGGCAGGAAATGGAGCACTTTGTGAAATCCTTCTCTGGGGTTAAAGACACCATTCCCAACCAGCAGCAGACACCACCAGGGGAAGGTAGGAAGTCTCCATCCTTCTGCAAGGGATTCACTCTGGCTTTGCACAAGTGTTGTCACTCAAGCCTGGAATGGTTTAAACAGAGAATCCCCTGAGAGTACTTAGAAGGGATGGAGATCCAGGTGAGGCTCAGAGAGAAAGAAAGAGATGGATCCCATATCCCTGTTGATATGAGGTCAGCGAGAACTCAGTGGGGTCAGAGCCTCTGGCTAGAGTAAGCTGTGGGCAGAGAAGGAAGGACACTGGCTCTCAGATGATCTAGGTCTTGGCACTGACTCCAGGTGCCCCAAGATCAGTTGAACAGAGCACAAGGTATTGAGGGTATGGACCTGAAGCCTGGATCACCAGGCTGTTCACCTTAACTTCCATAGTTAGTAGATGCACAGTGACTTAACCAATAACTCATCTTCTCTGTTGTAAGAATCAAGACGGTGGCAAGATGGTGTAAGAATCAAGCTTTGTTCTTTGAAAGTGTTAGAGGATTAACACAAAGATCTGACTGTGTGCTTAGAGCTTAGCATGCAAGTGTCTGCTCAGGAGCTTGGTTCAAGCACTGTGCAGTTGTTACTGAACCACATAACTATGGCTCTCTTCCTCTGTCACATACAAAGTTGACATAAGCCTTTGGGAGTTGCTCTTTGGATGGGCTCACATGAGCAATGGTTCCTCAGGAATGAGGGTCCTCTGCTTTCTCCTCCAGGTAGTCCCTTCAGTCTTGGGAATGAAGGGGAACGGTTACAGTTGTGTGGTGGGGAGGAAGTATACAGAGTCACTAGCATTTTAACAAGGCTGTGTTCTCAAGCCTGCAGGCACCATCTGCAGTACACAGTGTGGAACCCATGGTAGCTCCACTGGAGGATCTGCAAGACTTTGGGAAAAGCTGTGGCTGGGGTCACAGAGCCACCCTGCCTTTCCAGAAACCCAACAGACTGGGGCAACCAAGCCAAATCCTGGAGAGCCAAATGCAAACTTATGCTTTCCCCAAAGAGATGCTGTAAGAAACTTCAGCACATAGTACTCACTGGACCGTGCAGCCAAAAGAATGGCATATTCGCCCCCACGCAGAAACTTCTCAGAGAAAGCCTCCCGGGATGGGTAGAGAGGAGGAAGGCTGAGCTCATCATTGGTCAGCTGGATTCCCTTGGCCGCTAGGAAACTCTCTCCCAGGGGAAAGGAAGAACTGTTGGAAGCTAAGACAATCTCTTCTGTTTCCTTAATGAACTGCAGGACACGAAATTTCACTTCCTCACAGGAGCCAGGACCTAGGGCAATAAAAATACAGATGGAATCATTCACCAAGCCCAGCTCGTTCTGCTTTGTCTTCTTCCCCTCATTCGCTCAGCATTCATGAGGGAACCTCCGTAAGATTAGTGATACGTAATGTTCACACCATGCCACGTAAAAATTTAATCTGTGTAAGTCTGAGAAGATACTCCTCAGTCCCATGTGTCCTCCTTTCATTTCTGTTGCTGTGACAAAACATCCTGACCAAAATGCAACATGGAAGAGGAAGGATTTATTTGGCTTACATCATTGAAAATAGTCAAGGTAAGAACTTGAAGGCAGGCCTGTTTGTTATTCTACATAGCATTACTTACAACCAATTAACTCACTTCGCAACCAAAGAAGTACAGTGGAACCTTGGAGAATGCTGCTTGCTGACTGGCAGACAGGCTTATACTCAGCTAGCTTTGTTATAAAGTTCAGGACCCTCTGCCTAAGGAATGGTGTTACCCACAGTGGGCCCTCCTACATCAATTAGTAATCAAGACAGTCCCTCACAGACAGGTTCACAGGTCAATATGATCTAGTCAATTTCTCAACTGAGATTCTCTTCCCAGATAGTTGTAGGCTGTTCCAAGTTGACAGTGAAGCTAACCAGATGAGACTCCAGCCTGCAGAAATCATATAACTTGAGCAAGTTCCCAGATAAGTAACTGACTCAGAATTCCAATCTAGACAGTCTTACCCTAGAAACACTGATCTGAACTATATCTAAGATAGACAGGTATGGGGAGGTGGGTGGGTGGCTGGACGTAGAGGTTGAGATACAGGTGGACAGACAAGTGCTGCCATCCATAGATTTATTCCTGTGCTTGTGTAAAGAGCATGTCTCCCAGAAATGCCCTTGGTCCCTACTGTTTACTCACTTTTTTAGCTATCTGATGATAGATAATGTGCTTGGCTTCTCTAAACTTCAGCCCCCTGAACAATGGGGGTTACAGGCACCTCTATTCCAATTTCTCATGAGATGCTTTAATCATTCTGAGAGGGTCTATAATTGAAGGGCTTGGTACAGGGCATGTACATGCTGCCCCATAGTTATCAGTAGAAGGGAAGATACCCTGGTGATACTTATTTCTACCAGACACATAGTGAGTTCAATGGAGGAGGTGCTCCTTTGATTCTTTTGAGGGCATGAGATGAACAGGAGCCTTTAATTTCTGAAATTTCAAAACATGACTGTGTTCTTAATCAAATATGTCTTGATTCCCTTCTCTGTATGTGTGTGGGAGGTCTGTGTATGTTTACATATTCATGTATATGAGTATGGAGGCTCACATGCCATGGTATGCATGTGGAGATCAAAAGTACAGTTCAGGTGTTGATTCTCACCTTCTACTTTGTTTAAGGCAGAGTCTCTTATTGATCACCCCTGTGTATGCCAGGATACCTGGCTAGGGTCTTCCAGGGACTATCCTGTCTCCTTCTCCTATCTTACCATAGGACTGTATTAACCTTGTCAACTTATGAACTCACATGCCCTCTTTGAACCTTGATTCTCTCGGGCAAACATTGCAAGGATGCTCCTGGTCATCTTTGAACTCCATTACTGCATTATCACTCAGTACCTTCCCACCAGACAGCCTTTTCAAAGAATACAGAGTTATCTCTTCACATGAGTCAACTCACATGTTGGGATCTTGCCTGACTCAGCCCGAGTTCCGTTCAGTTCCTGACCAGCCTCATCCACACACCAGCAGCTCCGGAGGTCGAAGTGTGCCAAAGGCACGTTAAAGTCTGAGTATGACCCTGGGTACCGGCTGACCTCACCACTTAGGATCTGCCAAAAGAGGTAGGGCTCCAGGAGAATGTTCTCTCTAGGCTGAATCAGGGCCCCTTCCAGTAATGCCTGTGGGACATCTTGAAGAGAAGGGTACTGTGTCAGCTCTGGGAAGATGCCTTCCTGGTCAGCCTCATAGAAACTTTGAAGAAAGAGACTGAAGTTTCTGGATGCTGCTTCTCTGTAGCTTAGGATCCTCATCAGCAGTTTGGCAGGGGTCACCTCCTGGCCGTCACTGTTTTGAGTGTTCCATCGATCATACCACTCGAAGGCCTGCTCAGGGGGCCCATCACATTGCACTCGTCTCCACTGCCCACTGGCACTGCACTGTGGGATGTAGATGTTGGAGAGGGCAGGTGGGGTGCTGGAGTTAGAGAGCAGGCTCTGCACTGTTCTGAGGAAAGCTTGCTCTGCCTGTAACTGGCAGGGACTGGGACCTGGGTAGAAACAAGAGCAGGTATTTAACATATCGAATAAGCTACAAAGATCAAGGTGGCCACCTCCCTGTCTAAAGCATTTAAACTTATAAGGAGGCAGGAACCTTGACAGTCCTAAACTTATAAATGATATCCAACCAGAGGACACCTGGTGGCTAACCCAAGTACTGACCTGCGCCATAGAAATGTGTGTGGCACTTTCTCTTGTGCATGCGTGTATGTTTGTGTGTATGTGTGTGTTTGTGCACACGTGTATGCATATGGAGGTCAGAAGTCACTGTTGAATGTTTTCGTCAATCCTTCTCTACCTTATTTTTCTGAGACAGGGTCTCTCACTAAAACCTGAAGCTTGCTGATTTGGCTAGACTGGCCCGTGAGCTTCGCAGGTCTGCCTGTTTCCACCTGCCCTCTGCCCCCTAGCACTGGGTTACAGATGCACATCACCCATTGTGCTTTTAGGTGGATAATGGTGATCCAAACTCAGGTCCTCATGCTTGTATAGTGAGTACTTTACTGCCTGAGCCATCTCCTCAGTCCATATGCATGTTCCTAAGGACAAGCAAATCTCCCATTAGCTCACTAAAATGGCTAATGCTGTCCGGGTTTCCCTGTATAATGCTTTGCTTAGACAGCTAATTGTTCTGTTAACTGAAGTTTTCCCTTTAGCCATGACTAAACTCAGTTTCTTGCAATGTACTGGGTTCTGGTCTAAAGAGAGACTGAAAAGTCTATAAATACCCAACAGACTTACACTGCTTGGGCTTGCCAAGTGTACTCTGAGTTCCAGGAATAGCCTGACCCTCAGCATCAACACAGTAGCATTCGGAGTTGAAGCACTGGATAGGGAGGAAATATCCCTCACTAGTACAAGTGGGGACAAAAAAGCTGGAGCCAGCTGGCTGGCTGCCTGCGAGTCTCCGCATAAGGGCTCTTTGCTTCTCACACTCTGTGGGGCACCTGGGGCGTCCACCTCTGACTCTTGAGCCAGGAAGTTCTTTGCCCTTGGAATCCACACACCAACACTCTCCAGCAAAGCACTGGATCTCTTCATAGCTTCCCCCAGAGGTGCATGATGGGACAAACAGCCTCCCAGGGGTCTGTCCACAGGCCTGGGAGCTGAGCACCATTTCCAGCACGTCTCCTAAGTCCCTCGCTACATCCTCAGGCACAGAAACAGCACGCTGCAAGAAGACAAGAAATTCTGGAAGCTCCAGGAGAGAAGCTAGGAATTTTAAGGCATTTTGGTTCTCTTGTATGTTGACTTTGAAGCCAAAGATGCCCATAACTGAGTGATTCATAGCAACAGTCTTCTCAGAGGCATGGAGAGTTTCCGGGGTAGAGTTTGAGTCCAATCCCACAGAGAGAAGCTTGGCTGAGGTTGTCGGTGCATCTCCATTCTGGAAGCCTGGGAGACCAAGCTGCTGAAAAAACTGACTGAAGTTAAATGTGCCTCTTGTGCCAAGGGCTCCAGACAAGTTAAACTGGGCAACATTCACCAAAAATGTCCCTCCAAAAAGGTTTTGCTGGAGTCGCTTGGGGTTGGTGGTAAACTGGAGAGCAAGCTGAGCTAGTTCTCGGGAAGGGAAAACCGCCCTGATGGCTTCTTTGAGTAGGCTTTCTGATGCAGAAAACTCTTGGTATTGCTCTATGGCCATCGAGCGCAGAAGCCCAGAGTCAACAAAGAGCTGCTTGATCATGGGTGGGCAGGATGTGTCTGTACTCCCAAAGACCTGCCTTTCCTCAGAAGAGAACAGGTCCTGCTGGCTGAGGTAGCCTGAGGTACCAAAGTAGAGCCTGGACAAAGCCTGCTGCCTTTCTGAAGCACATGACTGGTCTTCAGCTGCATGAAACAATGCAAGTGGAGACAAGGTTAGCCTCATGGGAAGTCCTGAGCTCCATCCCCAATGCCCCAGGCCTCTGGTAGTCAGATACTGAAAGTTCACACCTGTGTTGTGGACCACTTCCTTCTCTGTATCCTCTTACACTTTTCTTTCTGCCCTTAGCTGCCTCCATTGGGGTTATTTCTGGGGGTGACTATCTCTATCCCCATGACCACTCTGCCACCTCACTGACACTTTTCTACAAGTCTATGAGACACTTGCCCACTGCACTGCATTGAAGAGTGTTCCCTGCAAAATTCATGTCTACCTGGAACCCCTGAATATGATTTGGAAACAGGGTCTTGGCAAATGTAATCAAGTTAAATGAGGTTATCTAGACTAGGATGGGCTGGGCATCCAATGGTTGGTGTCTTATAAGAAGGTCAACATAAACAGAGACACAGGAAGGAGGCCATGTGAAGACTGAGGCATGCAGACTGAAAGTGATGGATGCAGGCACAAGTGAAGGAGACCAGAAATTGTCAACAGTTCTGTGCAGAAGGAGTATGGAAGGCTCTATCCACACCTCGACTTCAGACTTCCCGTGTAAGGATTGTGAGAACAAATTCTGCTATCTAAGGCACCCCATTTGTAGCAATTTGTTCTGGCAGCCATAGGAGCCCAGTTTGCTAACAAAGTCCTGTTCGTGTTAACTGGGATGCTGCTTCCCAGCTTCCTCTCGTTGGAACTCTTAATAGACTTTAATGCTTTACCGTATGCTCTTCCTGTGGCTCCCCAATGCCTTCTCTGGGTAATCTTGTCTAGACTAACTAGTTTCTAGTCTCTTTTGGGATAATGTCTGTACCTTGAATACCACCAGTGTTTCATATAGCAAGAAATGTTCTCCTACATTCAGGCATGTAATCTTAAAAATACAACCTATTTCATTACTGCATCATTTCTTTTCCTTTTTTTTTTGTCTTTTTGAGACAGGTTCTCCCTGCAGTCCCAGCTGGCCTGGAACTCACTATGGAGACCAGGCTGGCCTCAAACTCACAGAGATCTGCCTGCTTTTGCCTCCCGAGTGCTGGAACTAAAGGTGTGTGCCACCACGCCCAGCTGCATCATTTCTTAGAATACTAAAATGCAGAGCAAGTAAACACAGTTAGTGTGCCCCTCAGGTTTCTTGATCTTTCCATTAAATTACTAGTGAGAAGGTGATCAGCTAGTCAATTCCAAGCATAGTCAGACTGTTCTGTATAAGTATCTTTGGGACTGTAATCACATCAGGGAAAAAAACTAAAAGCTCAAAAGCCATGTATCTCTCTTCACATAGGTTGAAGTACGCAAGTTCCATTTTTATCCACAAATCCATAAATCTTGGGGGACCTTCTAAACCACTGCCCCACCTTCCACTTTCAAAAATAATTCTTTCCTCTTGATTCATACAGATACCAAAAAGGAAGCCAACCAACCTCCCTTTGTAACCAGGCAACAGGAAAAGAACTGGAACATATGGGGGGGGGCCTTCAACATATAAACGTGTAACAGATCCCTCAGGAAGACCACTGTGTTCCTTAATCTGCATCATAGGAGGCGTGGAGGAAGTTCACTGCCTTGCTTCTCTTTCTACACTGAGAACCGAGTCCCTCCATACATTTGTTATGTAGTGTTTCCAAGGAAAGAAACCCAGATATCCCCATGTAGCATTTGTTGCCACAGCAACAGAACTGGTGTGCAAGTGAGAAAGAGCGAAAGCCTGTGGCCCATCCATGCATTTGAGTTCTTGTTTTAACTTGGAATGTCATGGTTCTTCATTTCCATCTGAAGGCGAGAGGATGAAGCATTCTCCAGGTTTTAATAGAACTAGAACATGGTTACAAATACCTCCCAAGGAAGTGTCTTAAATTTCTCTTTTTTGACATCTGTGCACTTATCAAATAGAATACTTCCAAAAAGCATGCAGAATATTCAAATTGTGGCAGTAGGAAAGGTTGAACAATTTAAGAGGAATTGTTGACTGAGCATCCATACATGTCTGGCTTGAAGCCATGACACTTTAGTTCCTCCTTCACTGTGCTTAGCTCCCCTGGTTGTGTGCTTGTGTGCTCCTGGCTTCCTCCCTCTCCATCATCAGCAGCTACCCTGTCCCCTTAATCCTGCTGGGGAGATGAGACCAGATGCTCAGTGATATTTCTGAGGTTTACATCCCTCTTTCTGCCCTAACATTGGTCACCATACTGGGTAGAATAGTGTCCCTCCAAATTGCACATTTCTTCCAAGAGAATGTAAAAATTTGGCAAAAGTGTCGCTGCAGGTATCACCGGTCAAGACGAGACCACACTGGTTTAGGGGTCCTTAGTCCAAGCTTACTTATATTCTTACAAGAGGCACAGAGACAGAGGGACGGTGGCAGAGATGGGGGAAGTCCCACTGTAAGCTGAAGGATGGCTGGCCTCCACCAGAGCTAGAAGAGTCAAGAGAGGATCTAGCTGGTACCTGCAGAAGCACAGGCTCTACCCCCACCTGGATTTTGGAATTCCAGGCTCCAGAACTGCAAGACAGTGAAGAGCTGCCCAGCTTGTGTTATTTTGTGACAACAGCCCTTGGAACTCATGAGGTCCCCACCCTCTCTCCTGAGGATACTGAGATGACTTTCTGATTGGTTGTCTTGCCTTGGTTCCAAGGCTTCTTCCACTTCCTCATCTAACATTGCTGGGAGACGTGTCTTGTGCACACAGCCCAAGAGACATCGCCAGAGTGAACCTGACACCAGGCTTACTTCCCTCCAGCATGAAGCCCCAAGTCTTGGTTATCAGAAGTGCTTCTGATCAGTGTCTTGTCTTGCTCCTTCCTGTCTCTGCCTCTAGTCACAAAGTGCAGAGTGCCCCTACTTCATGTTCTAACCATGTCTCACCACCACAGACGCTAAGCAACTGTCACCTCTTCCATGAAGGCCTCCCATGTGCTTTGAAATAGAATGAACGAACTCCGTCTGTGGCCTTCAGCTCCCTGTGTCCAATCCTCCCACAGCACATGAAGACTTAGCTCTCTTTTCTGGTCTGTTTCCTATGAGTCCCTCAGTTCTCCTCGAGCTCTCTGAGGATGTGACTATGTCTGGCATGAGACAAGAAACGTGCCCAAAGGTAATGGCAACAAACTACTCCTTAGTCAGGCACAACTTGAAGGGCACCTGGGTCACACTCGATCAGCAGTTGATTAGTAGGCTCAAGAGACTGGTGTGGAGAAGCAGTGGCAGTAACAGGCTCTGAGGAGATGGGAAAGGATGGCCCTAGAGGAAACGCACCACAAGATGGAGGCTGGCCTTGCCGCCGAGTGCCAGGGATCTCTGCTCCCTGGGCATCCACACACCAGCACACTTCCTTCTGGCACTGAACTGCCTGGTAGTCCCCATTTCTGTGGCAACTCGGAATGTAGGGGTGACCAAAGCTTGTGGCAGCAAACTGCTCCACTTCACACTTTGTAGGACCTGGAAGAAACCATGCAGCAAAGGAGACATACGTGAATAAGGCTTATATGTTCTTTCACAGCCTGAATGGAAGCTTGCTGCCCAGAGCTAACCCCCTGCACTTCCCTTGACTGAACAACCATACAGACTGGAGTGACCCTAAGACCCAAGTGATACCCTTGCATGTCTTTTACCCACTTACATCGGAATCTGCCAGAGATGACCAATTGAACTGCTAGGAAGCGTCTCTGCAATATCCGGTACATGGTGCTGTCAGTGAAGGTGGAAGCCTGGTCCAGGCCAGCAAAAATGGTGTCGTAAATTTCATCCAGTAGCAACTCCAAGCCTGGGCAAAAGCAGACAGCATTTCAGGGACACGCTCATTCCAAAAGAAAGCCCTAACCTTGCTGGATTAACAGATGTCAAAAGGACAGTCTTCACCAACAGCATTTTCAGAGGGTCCAGGCATGTCCAACCTTTTGACATTGCCAAATGACATCATCAACTGCAATACGTTAGAGAACCACGCAACCAAGTTACATAAAAACCTGTGAGAAAAACCTGCAAATAAGCCCCAAATACCAACAACTCATCATGTTTTAAGTAAGTCTATGAATTTGTGTTGGGCTGCACTCATAGCTACCCTTGGCCATACGCAGCATGATGCAGCCCCTGGGCCATAGGTTGGACATGCCTTGAACCATATTTTAACAATGTGCAAGTCAGGGTCGCCATCAAGGTTGCTGGCAGCACAGAGGAGTGTTACTACAGAACGTAGCCGAAAACCCACCCTGTGCGCCACTTGCCATACTGCAAGGTAAACACCTTTCTCAGCGTGAAAAGTGAGTGAGCAGCAGCTGCAACCAGACTACCGCAGATGAACGTTGGCTAGGGCTGCGTCCTCTTGCGCACCTCTAGCAGGCCAGCAACAATGTAGAAGGCCAGTGTCATGTCTGCCATAAGCACTAGAACCCCAAAACTTCACTTGATCCATTCACATGGCCCGAAGGGGGGCCGCTCACCTGTCTCAGCCAGCTCCCGCCCCTGGCTGTCAGCACAGTAACAGTACCCAGACACTTCAGGGAACCTGCTCCTAAACGAACTGAAGGTCACAAATGCCTCTGGAAACCTGATGGAAAACAAGTACGGTCACTGTTTCATAATTGGCAAGTCATTATCAGCTCTTCCCATCAAAATCAATGTGGAGGAGTCCTCAGCTAGGGAGGACTGCTTTCTACATGCAGCCCACAGTTAGTGCAGTAGCTCTTTCTTAAGTCGGTTTCACCCAACCAGAGCAAGGCTGGACTTTTTGTACTAAGGCTATGCTTAGCTGTCATCTACCAATTGTGGCATTTGACCAATTTATGATGTCCATATGTATGTCTCAGAAGACAGGTAGGTCATAGGCACTGCATCAGCCAGTTCCTTGATACAGTGTAACTCTAGAGTCCTAAGGCCAAGCTTATTTTATAAACATATGTTAGGCTGTGGGTGATCTCATTTTGCATGAGCAAATGCTCCAGGGTTTTTTTTTTTTTTTTTTTTTTTTTACAGCTTTCAAGAGCTTGTCAAGAAGCCAGATTCCGTTACAGGAGAAGCAAATGCTTTCAGTTCCATTACTAAAAACACAAAATCAAAGTGATGCCACCATCTCTTTTGTTCTGTTGAAGAAAAGCCTTCCTTAACCATGCCCAACCTAGCAGCTACTACATGAAGCCCACTGTCTGGGTCCACATCCTTGCTTATGAGGAGGCTAAGGGATCAGAAAGCATACCGAGGATTTCCTCCCACGGACAATGAGGTCAGCAGAGGAGAATTTTTCATCTTCATACAATAATGAGAGCTTCTTTTCACACTCTGTACTACTAAGGTGAAGTGTGTATTTCTACCCATGTGTGGAAACAGCACAGAAGCTAGCACTCTGCCCAGAGTTCTCTTGCTGTATACTCTTCTCCAGCAAAACACTGAAAGCAACTTTCATGTTCAACAATGGGCAAGTGAAGTGAATTATAGCAACCCCCCCCCATGGAAGAAAATGCTGCAGCTGACGTAGATATTCATGAACACTAGCAAAAGGGGAGCGTCATGGCAAAGGAAGCAGTATAAAACAGCATGTGCACACAGTGTGATCACTACCACGTAAAACCAGTTCTGGAAGGCAAGACAGGGGCAGCAACTACCCAATTCTGAACATGGGCTGCAACAAGTATTAGTCAATTTGAATGGAAATAAATACGTGAAACAAAAGCTATGAACGTGCTCGAGAACTCCAGACTTTTCCCATGTTGCTTATCTATTATTGTAGATTGCACAAAGAATGCTATCATAAGTGGGCTGCGACATAACAATGAAAGCTGATTTTGCCTAGTTGCCATTAGTAGGAAATACGTAATTTTAAAAGTTCACTCATTGGAAAATGAGATGATTTGATTATAAAGGTGGTAATGATAGTAAAATAGTTGATCCTGTTTATTGAGCACTACTTTTTTAATGACAGCTGCAAAAATGATTACTATCCATCCACTTGTTAAATCTACTACATTCCTCTCAGGATGAAGGTGACATTTTCATCTCATCTTTGAGATGAAGAAGGTAGTGAATGTGGGCCGCTATCTTGATCTAGTGGCAGGAACAGAATTCACACCTGGTCTTACCCAACAACTGAACTCTGCCAGTGTTGTTTCTCAATACGAGTTGGGAAGTGACTAGTTCCTGCTCTGTGTCCTTTGAGGCATATGGCTATTGTTGCAACCATCTCTGCATGCTGAATACCTCACTTTCCCTGGCATGTAATGGATGTTGAAGACACTGTGTTAGAGACAGATGCACAGACCAGTCCCCCAGCTGGCTGAGAGGGTTCTGACATCCACTCCAGCAAGAAGCACGAAGAGCTTAAATCTCCCTACTCCCTGTGGTGCTGAGGCAGCCCAGATGGCCACCTCAGTTTCTTGCTCTAGGCAAAGTATGGCCTCATGGATCTTTGCATGATTTTATCTCATCATTTTATAGCCAAAAGTCCCCCTTTGGGGTTCCTGGTCTTATGAATAGACTAGCATCTGAGCCAACAGTGTTTTGGGTATGACCTTTCTCAATGTCTTTCCCTTCCTGTGTACTGAGGAGCTCTCCCTGGCTTCAGCTTCCTGTCCTCTCAGGAAGATTTCCCCAAGGCCCGTTATTGCTGCCTGCACTCCCCAAGATTGCACCTTCATTTCCTGTGAGGCAGAACTGTGCTGCCACGTGTAATCCTTTTCTGTTAATTTTGTACACAATGAGAAGATCTAGGGCCTGGAACCCACATGGCAGAATTTCTGTTCTGGCCTACCACAGTGATTATTGCTATTAATTATTACTCAGAAACATCAACAAGCAATATGTAGTTATGTAGTAAGCAATCACTCTGCCAAGAGTTATCCACAGTCTATCTCATGCAATTCTTATAACAATCCAAAATAACCCTCAAGTTCACAAATGGAAAAGCTGGCATGCACAGTGGTGATGGGGTAAGATCAAGCTCATCCAGGCAGGACCAAGGTCCTGGCATCCTAAGCCTGTTTCCACTGTTCCTTCCCCAAAGAGAAGGTCAGATGGTAGGATGCCTACATAAACAGAGCATGGTCTTTGGGGCTCTCTCCTCAACCGCTAGTGAGTTCAAGTTCTAAATCATCCTGAGACCCCAAGTTCCTATAACCTGATTTAATACAATCTGATTTTTGTGGACAGTTTCTGAAGTGATGTCACCACTTATCAGTTTGGGGGTTCCTCCAGTGCAACCATTTCCACTGGTGTGGCTGTTTGGCTGTTTCTTATGCTACTGTCAGTGCTGATTTGTCACTGGGGCTGATCCCATACCCCACAGTAGTCAAAGAAAGGCAGAGTCCTGAAACCGAACTACAAACCCAGTGAAGAAGGACATCCCTGGCCCCATCTCCATTAGTAGCTCAGGGGGCTTTGGCCTGAGAAGGTTCCCAGAGGAGGAGAGTTTGGGTGGTACCTAAAGCCACAAATGACCATTTGACCAGGAGAGAATGGAAGACATGTCCAGAAGGTTTTAATGCACCTCAACCCTCTAGGTAAGACATATCCCAGTGTGGACAAGAGAGCAAACAGAAACAATACCAGAGGAGAAACAAGTAAGGCAGAACAACAGGTCCCGAGCATCTCCATCACTCAGCATCAGTGTGCAGAAGCCCTGTGCCAGCTGCTTATGGGCACTGGCCTGGGAAAGCCCTCATCTCATTGACAGCAGGGAATTGTGAGGTGAAATAGCCCTGGAAGGCTTATGCTATTGTCCCCTTTATAAGAACCAAAGACCAAAGTTCCTTCCATCCTCAAGGATGCTTCCCTGAGAAGCTGGCTCATTGTTAGACTTTGAACTGTCCTTTCTCTTGCTATAGCCAAAGCTCAGAGACACATATGAATTCCCTTACACATTTTATAACTTTAAATAAGGACGGGTGTGGACTAGTCTTTGCCATGACTCACTTTGCTTCTCCATGTTTTCCTCTAATATCTTCCTTTATCCTGTTCTTGGAATACAGGGAGAAGGAAGATCAAATCACTACAATATTCCATGAAACAAAACTATGTACTCTATCTCTTGGGAAAGGCTGATGAATGTTTGTTGATTTAAAAGGAAAGTCTCAGACTGAGCAGAACAGAGTACTCAAGAATGAAAATCTTAAAGGAGGGGCAAGTGACGGAGTCAGTGAGCTCATGCGCAGATTGGGCCTCCCTAAACTTAGAGGAATTACAGATGAAGCTCAGTGGAATCTGGAAGGCTGGTCCCCAACAGGCTACTTCAGGTGTCTCCTTGACAGGATCAGATGACTGTTTATGAGGCTTTCCCAGTCTCTTCCATGTTCCAATTATAAGCTTTGCTACATATTAAGGAACTCATGACTCTATTCATGGGATAACTGGGATAGCAGAAGTTCCTAAAGCATTTGAACTGAGGCTCGTTGTTAAGACAGAGTAATCTTTTTTTAAAAAAAAGAAATAAATTTTTATTTTAAGGACATTCAAGAAGCATTGGAATGTAGCCGTATGTTGAAAAACATAATTATGTTAGCTTGACTTTACATATTTTTCTTGTTAGATATGATATGTAAATCTACTGGTGTTCTCTAGTATACAACTAGTACAGTCCATGAATGACAGCTCCTTAGCCATAAGCTACGAACTTCATAAACCTAACATATTGTTTTATATTAGAGAAAACAACAGTTTAAAGTTTATTTTACAATTTTTAAAAAAGAATACTAAATATCTATGTATAAATTCTTTACATATGTTCATATGATGGTTTTTATTATAGTATATTAATAAAATGTGCCATGTATGTAAATCAATGGTATTATAGATATTTAATTAGAACCATAAAAGTGAATGGAGTATCAATCTAACTCATGAATGCGTTACATGTTACAGAAGAAAAATTTACCATTAACATATGAAAGACATACATGCACATAGGACTCTTCATTTTTTCAAGATCAATGTTCAGTATTTTGTATCTGTTATTTGAAAATCAAATAATATAGTAAATATGATTTAAAATATCACTAACTACTAAGCACTTACAAATTGAAAGATTTTGTGGCGACAGAAGTTATAAGAGTATAATTAGGAAGTTAAGAGAGAGCTGTAATCTTACTCAATAGAAGTAAGAGTTGACTTAAAAAAAAAAAAAGCTTTTAACTCAATCTCTAAAGCCTTGATAATGGACCAGTTCTCTATGAAGTTCTGCACAGCTTTCCTTACAGTGTCCAGGCAGGATGGGATTCCATAGTTGGTGCTTGGGCCAGGCCATAGGAAAGGTGGGAGGGGCTCAGAAGAACCAGCACAACTACTGCCCATCAAAAAAGAGGATTTCAGGCTTTCAGCCAAATTGCTATAATAAGTTATGTCTTTTGTCAAGGGGCAAAGGGACTTACAACAGTCAAGGTCAAGTGTAAACCATAGCACAGCACATTGAGAATTCACAGGAAGTTGGGAAATGAGCTGTCCACAGATCTCAAGATTCCTAAAGCCCTCTGAAAGCAAGTCAATTGCCTTATGCCACTCCTCCAAGGAAATCCCCTCAAATTCAATATTCCAAAATCAAATTGTAGCTTTTCCTTTCCGAACACATCATTGGCCATCTACCTAGACACACCTGATTCTCCTCTTCCTCTTCTCCATATGTTTATTTCCTAAATTCTGAAGGTCTACATAGTAAATATGCCTCCAATATAGCCCCATCTCCCAAGTATCCTCCCCATCACCTCCTCTAGTCTGAACTACCATCATCTCCCCTCTAAACTCAAAGTGGCTTCCCAGGACCCACTATGCTTCTCTCAGACCATTCTTTTTAAATTCCAAGTGCTTATGGTAATCATGCAGTACCCTACCAATCCAACCCCTCACCCCATTTCCTGCCCTGACTTAAAATATTTGAGGCAATGTCAAATATATACAGTAAACTAAAATAGCCCTTTGTTCATCTTAAATGCAGCTGTAACTGTCCTGTATTTTATCTGCCAACCCCAGGTGATTTGAATTGTTTCGTACAAGTCCCTTCCACTTGCCTAGGATGGCCAGGTCTGCAGACATATCAGAAAATTCTTGATTACCCCTGAGCTTGCAGTGATCAACCACTTGATCGTTCATATGACCTTCTGAAGCCATAATTTTCTCAGAGATATGCTTGCTTACAAAAAGAAAAAGATCCCATTTCAGAAGTGAATGTTTTTGTTTGCTTATTGTAAACAATGATTCCTTAAGTCTCAACCTTTCCATTTAACTACCCTGCCCTCTTGTGGCAGTAGCTGTGAACTGAGCCTCAATCTCAATGTGGCTCACAAAAGTCTTTGCTGCATCCAACCCATTAAAGTCACTAAACTCAAACTGCAGACTGTATGCAAGGAAGGCTCTGTGCTATGTGCTGTGGGGGAAGAGAAATGGATCGCAGAAGTAAAGGATTTTTATAGACAGCTCTAGAACCCACTATGTTTCCTAGAATGACTTCTTTAAACTCTTCCAGATTCCTCAGCCATATAACAGACTAAAATTGCCTATTTCTGTATTAAAATGGAAGGATATACAATTTTTTAGAAATAGTGAGCACTCAGTTGAATTTGACCTAAGGATACCCAGTTTGCACAAGGTGGATGAGCATTCAGTAAGCCTGGCTGCCTGAGTGGTCTGTACTCACGGGCTAATCGCTAATCGCCAGGGGGGAAAATCTAACCTACATTTTTCTGAAACTGGGTGATGCTTGAGAATTCCCTAAAGAGGAACAATATGTTACAATTCTGTATATTCTCAATGGTTTCGTAGTTGAGGTCTCATCAGATATCTGCCATGGCCCAATAGGCTTCCATTCCCCAGCTGGGAACACTGAGGCTCTGGGAAGGTGACTGACTAAGTCACTGAGCAAAGTAGTGGCAGAGGAAGAACGCAGATGGCGAAGGCAAATACCATCCTGAAAACAGACACGACTGTCAGGAGTAAGGTGGCTGAGACCTAAGGGAGCCAGGACACAGAACAGTATGCCTTGGTCCAAAACAGATAGCTCAAGGCTTTCCACCCTCGGACTTTAAAACCATAAATTCTAAGCTTTCTATTTTAGGTTGAATATATGAAATCACTGCTGTTATACTATTTATAATAAAACCTTATAAGGTATGATCTAATGAGCAGTTCCTAGTTTTTTGTTTGTTTGTTTTGTTCTTAGTTCCTAGTTTTTTAAGTATTATGCAGCTCAGGTGAGGTTTGTCTATGCGACCTGCACACAGGACACTGGTCTGTGACCGCTCTGGCACAGCGCATGGGAATGTCCTCTGTCACTCGTGGAAACTGGTTGTTCTGGAAGTCAGCCACTTCGAGGCTGGAGTTCTCCAACAGAAAGCACAGAGGCATTCACCAACTGGTGCTTGATTTCTTTTTACTCAGAACAGTCTGATTATATCTAAAGTCTGCATGGCCCTTCACAATCATCAAGTGATCTAGAATAGCCAGCTACTACCTGGGTATTTGGGTCAGGACACATAATGTGCCTCTCATTTTATATTTAAATTATTAATGCCATTTATGAGTGCATGCATGGACATAACATCTAGAAACTCACGCATATGATCATATCTATGATTTTAGCGGGCTGTCTTCCACTGTTCTGTATCTCTCTTCTGTCCACAACACCACTGCAGCCCTGATTCTCCAAGGGTCCCTCAGTAAGTGTGTGGTCCTTCACGTTACCCCCTGTGCTCCTGGTCTAATCTAGACCTAGCTTAATCATCCAATCCCAAGATCTTATATGAACATCTACAGGATATTTTGCTTATTTGCTTTATAAATAATTAAATCACAGTACTCGCACTGCATATCTTGAATCATAACATGATGTGGAATCTTCTCTAAGTCAACTGTTCCAGCTTTGGTGCCTTCTCTTAAGTGACTACATAAATATTTATGGCATATACATGTTAATTCAGCCATCCACCCCATTTGACAAGCCATCACTTTTCTCCCCAGGTTCTGCTAGGATGGAGAGCAGTGCAGCGGGCAGCCTGGTTCATATGCTTTCACATTCTGATGTTTTCATTCACGTGGGCTGGCTGGGCCAGAGAGGACTTGCATTTACAGTTTTAATAGCTATTTATTTCCAGATGGTTTTGTTAAAAAGTGCAATAGCCCTGACCTTGCCTGTCAGCAGTGTATGAGAGCAAGACATCTTGATTCTCCACCAGGCTGCATGTTACACATGATACCCCAAGCTCCTGAAGTGCACTTGAGCCTGAGAAGCCAACAGCACCTTGAACTGCCCCTGTCAGGGGCCAGCTCCACTTACCTGTTATAGCTGTGGATCAGATCAAAAATCATCATGTCTGTAGTGTTGACAAACTTGCACTGAACTGGCATAAACTCTCCATCTGCAGAGCACTGGGGGGGTGACTTGTCTCCCACTCCATGGAGGAGACGACGGTTTCTTATCTCACAGCTCCTTGGACCTAAACATTTTCATGCAAAGCTGTTCAGTTCTTATGGATGGGTAGGTATATATATGTTTTCAGGAATGATGTATATACTGATGTAGGTACATATGACGTGGAAACCCACCAGTGCCTAAAATATGCCACCAGAGACTCGCAAGCATTCATTGAAATCCTGCTTGGACTTCTAGCTGTCAGCCAGCAAGTAAGGATCTAGGGTCTATCTGTCACTGAACTGCCTGGATGACAATTTCCCTCAATGGCCAGGCTCTTTGCTGTTGTCAGGCAGACCTAAAAGGATGTAGTTTGAGGGGAGCCAAACTGCAGCCCAACTAGGGGGGATGCTAGTGTCCATGACAGGGACACTTACATTGCGTTGGCCTCCCTAGCTGGCGGGTGCCATACACCTCCATTCCTTCTGCGTCTACACACCAGCACTGCACCTGCCACAGGTCACACTGCACAGGTGCATAATCCCCCGAATCTTGGCATTGGGGGAGATAGGTGGTGTCCGTGCTGTTGATATAGCCACTCAGCAGGATCTGTTGCTTGTGCAGCTGGCAGAAAGACAGACCTGGGGGGGCAAAGAGAGGTGTCCAAAGAGTGCTGAGGGAGAAACCTGGAGGACCCTTCTCTCTCCCCCTCCCTGAGGGGCACTTAGCCAGACATTCAGAAGGCATTAGCATCTTGAGGAGTGGGTCAGAGTGGGATAGCCCTCCATGCAGTCACACCTGCTGTCCTGATCCTTCAGAGGAGATTCCAGAGGAGTTAACAGAATGTCTCAATGTGGGTTTTCATGGAGACAGCAGTGTAAGCTGGGAAGCTGTTTCCCTGCTCCGAGTCTCTGTTTATCTACAAGTAGACTATCTGCTTCCCTCTAGGTGCAGGGGGTCCAGTCGTCTTGCCTTGATTGTTCTTATCAAATAGCTACTGTGCATCAGGTTTATCACATGTTTTAAAACATCACATGGGAGGCAGATTCTCTATTGTTTGGATGGGGAGCTATGTAGCTCAGAATGGGCAGGTGACTTTGGTCAAGGTCATGCCATCAGAGTCAGTGAAGGGCCAGTCTGATTCCCCAAAGCAGTCATGCCAGTTGCAGAAGACAAGAGCCACTGATAGGACTGTAATCCACCCATTGAAGAAGAGTTTTTCTTCTAGGCTCACTTTCACCATTGAACTGACCTTTGCTGAGAGCTCTGAATCTGACTTCAGGATACTTGGAGTTCCACTGGCCATACTTGGCTTGGTACTGGGCTGGCACAGGGGAAGCCCTTGATAGCTACTCACTGGGCACATGACTTGAATGTCTAATTCGATTTTCACTGTGATCCTTGGGAACCTTGTGTGGTGGGCAAGGACTCTGCTATTCAAAGAGGGGGAGCCAGCAGTCCAGAGGGAGGCTTGCCTAGAGGAGGTCACCCACTCAAGCTCAGTACTGATTCCTGAGTGTGAGGTGTCCCAGTACAAGGGCCTTCCTATCTTACTGGGAGCCCCTTTGTCACTTACAAACCATTGGTCTCCCCTGCTGCCTGCTGCCAGGTACTTCCCTGCCATTGACGTCCACACACCAGCAGAAGCGGCCATCGTTTTGGCACTGGACAGTCCTGAAGAGAGACACACCAGGTGACACCATTATGGGTTTTTGAAGCCACATTCTGGCTCCAGCCCAGTAGGGCCCGAAACCAGCAAGCCACATGGGGAAGCCTGGGTTGCGATCAGACCAGGTTGTGGAGTAGGATCCAAGGGCACAGAAGGCTACACTGAGAGCTGCAGGCTATCCTGGGGTAGAAGATAGAAGTGTCCTGGGTAGAGAGAAGACTGTCTGCAGAGCCTTCTGGGGACAAGGCAGGCTTGAAACTTCAGTGGCTAGAACAAGAGATATTGATAGAGGAGGAATATACATAAGCAGGCAGAAGGGAGGCCTGCCCCTTTAGTCTTCCCTCACCACCCTGAATTCCCAGAGGTCCTGACTGAAGGTGGACAGAAGCTTGAGAATACAGAAAGCTTGTTAAGGCCAGTGAAGAGAATAGAGGACAGCATCAGGGATGGTGTTCCATAGGCAGAGATGAGGGCCCTTCAGTGTGATTGTAACAGCAGAAGAGATCCAGCTGCCCATGGATCATGAGGACTCTGACCCCATAGGGGAGAGAAGTTTAGGCTACCACCTCACTCTACTTGGAGGGAGACAGTCCCAGGACCCATCTGTGTCAGAGCCCCTTTCAATGTGGAGCTCCCTGAGGGGCAGTGACCAGGCAGCCTAGGGCAGCTATGAAAGCGAGGAAGGCCAGGTGAGAGAAAGCCCTTGCTTTTTTCCACCAGGGAACAGAGAAGGTACCAAGGAGCACCCTCACACTATTTGGACTTTACTGAAAGGGCACACACACCGCGGTAAACCAGTTAGGACTAAACCATGGCAGGAAGTGAAAGGTTCCCAGCAGTCTATAGGGAGGGCTGGCCTCCTGCTCTCTCCATCAGATTACCTGCACATGAGGGACAAAGAAGGAACCTCTCTCCACATGGCTGCAGCCATAGCTCACACTCTCTGAGGAACTGGGGTCGGGGGGCATTACAACTTGGGGTGGCAGGGATAAGATATGAGAGGTTCCCAAGGCATCTTGGGGCCCTAGAACCAGCCTTACTGGAAGCTGCCATCTTCGGAGCACTGTGACACATAGTCAGCCTGCTTTAGAAAGGCCCTCTCCCTCTGCAGCTCACAAGGACGGAGTGGCTGGGCATCCACCTGGTACTCTAGGCAAAGGGAGAAGGCACATGACAGAAGGGTATAGGTTGGGTCTCGCCCACCCAGATGCCCCCCTCCCCACTCCCCAGAGTACAGGAGTTTGTACAGATACACAGCCATTGCCTTCCCAGTCTCGTTGTGTCTTGGCAGCTATTCATGTCTCCCCAGTGTAAGGTTAGCTCATTTAATCCTCTACAGTCCCCTGGGAGGTGATGAGAATGCCTTCATTCCCCCACAGTCAACCAAACTTCAGGTAGCAGTGAAAGCCACCTGCCCAAGGCTACACAGCTTGCAAGGAAGGATTCCTGAATCACCTTTGGAGTCCACATGTGTCCAAGCCACTGTGGATTGGTATGGGGCACAATAAGGTAGTTGGTTTGGACATCACCAGGCCATGCCTATGGGCATAGCACATTCCTGGCACACAGTGGGAATCATTCTTCATTAAAAACCCACATGGCATGTTGAATCTCAATCACAATCACTTCAGGAGCTGTGTCCTTTGCCTCCCTCCCTCCCTTCCTGCCTCCATGCCTCCCTCCCTCCCTGCCTCTCTCCCTCCCTCCCTCTCTTTCTCTCTGGTATATGCATATATACATGTATGCATTGGCATGGAGGCCAGGAGTCAACATTGGATGTCTTCCTCAATAGCTTCTCTGCCTTATTTTTTAAGACAAAGTCTCTCATAGCACCTGGAGCTCAGTGATTGACTGGACTGGCTGGCCAGTGAGCTCCAGGGATCTGCCTATCTGTCCCCTCCAGCCCTGGGGTTTTGAGCATATGCTGCTGGAGGGCCTGGCTTCAATGTGGGTTTTAGGGATCCAAATCTAGGTCCTTACTGCATGACAAGCACTTACCGACTGAGCCATATCCTCAGCTTTCCTACACATTCCTTTTTTTAAAAAAAAAGTCTCCCTGTAGCCCCAGCTGACCTGGAACTCACTATGTAGACCTGGCTGGCCTTGAGCTCACAGAGCTCTGCCTCTGCCTCCCAAGCCCTGGAATTAAAGGTGTGTGCCACCACACCTGGCTGTGCATGGTTTTTAACACAGAAACTGCAACTTGGCAGTCTGTCCACAGCTGAACAGGTAAATATGAGATATGGATGTGGGGGGGGGGGAGCTGTGATTGTCCTAGGTTCTCCACCAATCCCTAGCTCTGAGACCTAAGGCAATACACATTACTCTTTGAACCACTGTCTTTTATCTGAATAGCAAAGAGAAAATAGCCAGCCTCTGGGCATTTGTGGAGCAAAATTAGATCTGGCATGCTTAAGAGCCCTGGGACAGGATCTGGGTGAGTACCATGTGTGGAAAACTCTCTCCCCAACCCCATGGCCTCAGCCTCAGAACTCACCAAAGATGTTGGCCACCACTGGGTAGGCTGAGCCCAGCAGGGAAAAGACCCACAGGACCAGGGCCATCTTCCTGCCCCTTCCTGGGATGAAGGGGTAGGAGCAGGGTCTTGTTTGAGTCTCTAACCAGGGAATATTTATAGTGTAGTGCCAAGCCCTTGCTTTCTTGCTCAAGAACACTTGGTGGGGTGGTGGCTCAGCCTGTTTTCTCTGTGGGTCACAGGAACTCCCTCTACCTGCGTCTGCTCCCTCTAAAAACACTTGAGTGGTCAATAGGGTATGAGAACCTTGTCTAGACTCTGGGGAGAAGAAATAAGTATGGTGGCATCAAAATCCCTTTCAAAAGGCAGGGGTCAGAGCTCTGTACCCTTGTGGGTTTATTATATCTCTGCTTTTCCTTCTACCTCCTTTCCTCCTCTTCCTCCTCCTCCTCCTCCTGTTCCTCCTCTCCGTCCTCCTTTTCTTCCTTCTTTCCAGTTTTGTTTTAGAGCCTAACATCTGTAGGTATTATTCTAGTAAATGAAGCTATGGAAAAAAACAAATTTTTCCCTCATTAATGTGGAATATGAGAACTACACTGAAGGAAGCCAAATATATAACATACAGGTGCACACTCAGCAAATGGAGTCTTCTGCACACAAGGCCCATGTATCCCTGCAGCTTCTCTTTGGGTCTCTCCAAGAAAGCAAATACAGCATGTACCATGCCATCTTCACTATGGTCATTATCTTCTCATTTTGCAAAGGCCATCATCGTGCCAGGTAATGGCAAATACTCAGAACATCGCTGTAAGACAATGGGCAGGGGTCAGTGAATGACCACTCATCAGAGAAGAGGAAGACCATGTAAGAATCTGAAGAACTGTGTCACTGGACATGGGAAGGGTTTGGGAAGAGATGCATGCTTTCCATGGGCAGAAACCAAGGGTCCACTTTCTGCCCTGGCTGCAGAACAGGGCAAGATGTTGCAGAGACCAAGTCAATTACCTGTGGTTCACACACTCTTAAACAGAAGTACCCAGCATTGGCCACTGTGTTAGTTGGTTCTGGCTGCCATCAAAGAGTAGCATAGAACTAGTGGCCTATGCAACAGACATGCCTTTTCTTCAGGTTCTGGGGGCTGAAAGAGTGAGGCAGAGATGCTGGGTTCTCCTAAGGCTACTCTCTGTGGCTTGTAGGTGACTGGTATGTCCCTGTATCTTCATGTGGTCTTTCCCCTCTGCATGTCTGGGTCCTAACCTCCCCTTCTCCTGAAGACACCAGTCATGAGACTCACCCAAAGAGCCTTATTACCTAAACTGAGTTATCTAAAGACCCTGACTCCAAATACAGTCACACTCTGAGCTACTGAGTGAAGACTTCAACATAGGAATTAGGGGTTGGACTGTATAGTTTATCCACAAACATCTACTGATGTTACTCTGTTCATGATACAAACTAGAATATGAAACCTACGTCATTTTGGGATCTGAGCCTGGTGGTAAGGCAGGTGAGAAACTTTTCCCCACCTCTCTCCTAGGTACCCCACCTTCAGGGCCTCCCCATCACTCCCTGCTTCGGTCTCCAGCCAGGCCTCTTCACAGAGCTCAGATTCCCTTTGCCTGGATGCTTCACAGATGGTTCTTGTTCAAAGACTCCCCACATTGATGGCATAGCTTGGTTGCCACCCTGAGATCTTCCTAACCCTCTCCCCTGACCCAAAGCATCCTTCAGAACCCACCAGGAGCCCATCATCCTTGATGTGCCACCAGTCCTCATTCCCTGCATCCTCCCCTTCTCCCAAGTTGGCCAAAGCTGGCTGAGTGCTGAGTCACTGTGCCTGGCTCAGACTCTGGGAAGCAATGGAGTGTAGGTGACAGGGCCAGGTCCTCACCAGGGTGTTTCTGCTCCATTGGATCTGGTGCTTTAGGGATCCTGGGCTCAGCCCATGAAGCAGGATGAAGAGGGCTCTAGAGGTAAGGGACAGCTGCCCTCTTCCGGGACTCACTTGAGAGACTGCTGGAGTGGGGAGTATGAGCGCAGCGTGGGGCAGAGCTGTCAGGCTTCAGTCCATACCAGAGCTGCCCTCAACCGCCAGAAGACGGCTTCTCTCTACCCAGGCAGCAGAGCAGAACAAGGCTTACAGTATCCCCCACGGGAAACTGGCTTCTCACTATGACTCAGCTCCTCACTTCTGTCTTTTTCTGCACCGAGCCCAGAATAAGCAGGCTTTCATGGTGACTCTATGAGCCACGTTCTACTCAGGCCCCCACCACTCAGAGGACAGGTTCTTCAACACTGGCACAGACACTCCTCAGTTCTGAATGCAAAGCCTTAACCTCCTTTATCCCCTCTTTCCCCAACACAGGAGCCTGGTGCATTATAAGGCATGCTGATGATGTGAGGACCATGCACAGTCATTGGAGTGCACAGTGGGAGATGTTACAAATGGAACCTCACAGGCCCCTACTTCTGAGTTCTCCTGACACCTGTCATCTCCAGAAGGAACTGGTTAGCCCTCTCTCCCCTAGTCCAGTCTGATTGGTTCTGCTAGCCTCACATTCCATTTAGGGTCAGTTTCTCACCCTGTCCCACCCATCTTGGAACTCAAAGCCACATCCTTCCTTCTCCTGATCACTAGGGCAATAACAAAAATTCCTTGCACTTCATTTCCACATCTAGAAAGACGGGGTGGAAACACTTTCCCCAGCACTCCTTACAGTGTGGACTAAGACTGTTGACATCATCTCTGAACAAATGTAACAGGACACTGAAAGGTGGAGGGTACACGGGAGGCATTACTGGCCAGCCACCTCAGGCCCAGAAGAGGGCATCATAGCGAGTCCCTTGGGTTATAATTTGGTTTCATGTCTCAGACTGTATTTTGGAGAAGCTTGCAAATCACAGATACTGGTGAGCACAGATTAAAAACCAATCAAACAATCAAGGAAAGCTTATAGAGACTTGTAAAGGCCACAGCCCTGTTAGAATTTTGGAGACCAAAAGTCCAGTGATCCTGAAAACAGAGCTTTTCCTTTTTCCAGCCATTCTGAGTCTTAAGGAGTATTTGTTTTGCTGTTATTTTCTACAGGAAATAAACATGGCTCTGAAATTTTATCTTCCACTGCAGCTCTCATTTTGTTTCTGAGGAGACTCTACCTGTGTTCTAGCAATTTAAGTGGCTTCTTACAGCACTCTCTGTGACTGTTATCTTGGTTGTTACCTTGATGGAATTGAGAAAACACCTTTGAGGATGTCTAGGAGGGAGGTTGGATTAATTGGGGTGGGATTGAAATCTATGGATTATTTTAAAGATTATTTTAAATCTTCGTCTGATAAAGTTTTTAACTTTCTTATTTTGAAATAATTTTGAACACCCACAATTGAAACAGTATCAGAGTTCCCTTGTACCTTCTAGTCACCCAATATCAATATCATAGATAAACATGTTGAAGTTATAAAAAGTAAGAAACTAACATTGATGCAATACTGTTCAATAACACTGCAACAATTATTTCATTAATTTCAGTTTCTTGGTTCCAGATTGAATACAGAATTTACTCTTTCTTTTAACTAACATCTCCTTAGTCCTCATGGTCAACAATCTGACTATAGAATATATGGGTGTATATCTTTATCTTAGTTACTTTCCATTGCTGAGATAAAAACACTGACCAAAAACTAAACTGGAGATGAAAGGGTTTATTTTACCTTCGGCTTACAGTTCATCATGGAGGAGAACCAGGGTAGGAGCTCAGGGCAGGAATTGAAACACAGACATTGAGGTACACTGTTTACTGACTTGCTTCTCTGGCCCATACTCAGCCTGCTTTCTAATATAACACAGGACTACCTGACCAGGGGTGGCACCGCCCACAGTGGGCTAGGCCCTCCCACATCACCCAGCAATCAAGAAAATGCCTGACAGACATGGCCACAGGCCAATCCAATGGAGGAATTCCTCAGTTGAGGTTCCTCCCACCCAAATGTGTCAAGTTGACAGCTGAAGCTATCCAGCACAGTGTACTTTCTGAAAATAACTGAAATATAATTCACATGCTGTACAAATTTACCTAAAGTGTACAATTCAATAACCAATCACCACAATTATAGAATCTTATCTTCAAAAGAAACCGCCCACCCCTAGATATCATTCTCCAATCTCCCTAACCCTCTTTTCCAGGTACCCACTAATCTACTTTCTGTCATAGATATCCAGGACTTTTCATGCAACATTCATATATATTTCGTATATAATCATACATTTGTTGCTTTTGAGATTACTTTCTTTGACTCAACTGATTCTGAGAATGCAAGGTGGGCTTAACCTCTAAAAGTATTATACCATAAAGTACACTATGATAAAAGAAAAATACAAACTATATATGGTCACTTATATGACAAGAACAAAGATGAGTTTTCAAAATCCAACACCATAGTAATCCAACCACAAAAATCTAACAAAACAAGTTTCAAAAAATCCAAACCATAATAATCCAACTGCAAAATCTAACTTTCCCAATAAAATTTCTCATCAAACTAAGAATTGAGACTAACTTCTTAAATCTGACAAAAAAGGCATATACAAAAAATCTTGGAGATAATTTTTATTCAATGGTGACAAACTAAATGCTTTTCTAGGAGGAGACAATACAAGGATGTTCACTCTAACCATTCTCATCCATAACTGGCTGTTTTTGCCTATGCTAAGTCATTAAAAGTAACAAACAGCATATACATTAGTAAGAAAGGAATGTATTATGTGTAAATCTTAGGGTACACACAAAAAGTCTGTGATCAATGAGCAATTTCAATAATATCAGAGTTCAAAATATAGATATCTCAATTTTATTTTTTACTCCAAGTAGTAAATCCTCTGAAAATGAAATTAAAGTAATTTTATTTATAATATAAAAAATAGTCAGTCATTCTTTCTGTTGCTGTGATAAAATACCCTGATAAAAGCAACTTAAAGAATAAAAATTTTACTTTCCCTTACAGTTTGAGAGGACTGTTTTCCTTGTTGTCATGGTCATGAACCTCTTCCCCTGGTTCTTACAATCTTTCTGCCCCCTCTTCCAAAATGGTCCC